TAATCCATATCTTGTAATCATGTATAGAATCACTCATAGAAGAGCCTTCCTGATTCAATCCATGCATACGTGGAACAATCTAGCGTTTCTTGCATTCATATTTTTATTCAATTAATATCCATAAATGGGCTATGTGCATGTATTTGTATCCATTGTGATTTGAATTTTATGAGTTATAAAAAGGGAAATGTAAAGGTGTTCAAGAGAGTGAATACGTGTTAAAAATACTTCAAAACTGTTGAGTAGGTGTTATTTTTTTGTGCCATTGGAGACATGGAGGGGAAGGGTGTGAAGTTGGGCACTCTTTTGATGATAGTGGTTCTGGTGGTTGCGTGCGATGCAGACTTATGCACTGACTGCTTTTCTTGTTGTTTGCAAACATGTCGAGATCCAGTGGCATCAGCAGAATGCATCAAAGCATGCAAAGCTAGCTGTGGAACGACCTCCATCTATTACTCGAGGGAGAAAAACGGGCAAAATAATGTGATCGGTTAATTTGCTACTAAAGAAACAAATGAAAACTTCAAATGTTGAGAATAAAGACATATGAAATGAAAGCTGGATCTATCATTTCTTGCATAAAAATGCACTAAGAATAAAGATAAGAGTTACCTGCACAAATAAATAATTTAAATTCATGTAATAGCTTTATCAAATTAAGGAGGTTTTGCTGTTGTTTATTATTATTATTTCAGAGTAAATTATAAATTAGTTATTTGAGTTTTGCAAAATGGATTAAAATGTCCCTCTAGTTTTAACAATTAATCAATTAGTTTTTTAACCAGTATTGTTGACCATACTTAATTTAATATTATTTTATTTTAAAAAATATTTTTTTCTCATCAATCTATTCTTATTTCTACTCATTTTTATTTTTTTCTACTTCTTAAAATAAAATAAAAATAAATAAATTGAAAAGGTACGTGAAATAGAAGAAAAGGATTAAGGTACCTGTATGTTTGAAGATATAGGGACTAATTAATTAATTTTGAAAAGTAGAGAAACTATTTAATTTGTTCTGCAAAATTAGCTAGAGAAATTGATTTATTGTTTACTCCTATTTCTCATGCTTCTAGTCGGACCAAACAGCGAAGACCTCCCAAGATCCTAATTATCACGTTGCAGCTTTTTTTCACATAAAAAATTACAATACAAGTTTTTTTTAAAAGGGACGGCTAGGAAAAGCACGTCATATATGCGGACATGCATTTCCAGCCATATCTGTGAACGAGTAAAGACTACTTTTAGGTGTGAGTTATATATATTAAAAAAGGGGCAATGATACGCTTTCATCTTTAGACAGCTACATTTGTAAATCAAATAAATTACATAACAACAACAATAAAGATATTTATAGCTTTAGATAAAAATATTTTTTTTCTAAGAAAAGCAAATAAATTATTTAAACATAATCAAATACAATGAAAGAATTGAAATAAAAAATATTGATTGTGTTTGACACAACAATCTATTATCATTCCCAATAAAAATTAAAATTGAGAATTGTGACTGTTTGAAAAATGATGATATGAAATTGAGTTTTAATTCAAAATGATTGATGACTTGAATATAGATCGAATAAAATGGATTGATTACAAAATTTTTATTTAATTTATATATTTATTTGTTTGTTTATTCGCATTTTTGTAGTAGTATTTTTTTGTACAAACATTTGTTAAATAATAAATATTTTATAATAAGTTTTTTTTTTTTTTAATTTCGGTTACAAACATTTGATAATGGATTGTACATAATGATATCACGTATGTAGTTAACATACACATTAGCCTATAGTTAGTGAAAGTACTCAAATATAAAAAAATTACAACTTAATATACTCAAATAATAAAAATTAAAATTTATATACCCAAATAGAAAAAATTGATAACTTTGTATACCAAATAATAATAAAAAAATTTCTCATTGCTTCGCATTTGACATTGGAGCCCACATGTTAGCATTACGTGTGCAGTTAATTGCCACTTCAACATAAAGTTAATGAGATTTAATGACACCACTCAAATAGAAAAAAAAATGATAACTTGATATTCTCAAATAGTAAAAATTAAAATTAACACACTTAAATAAAAAAATTAATAATTTTGTAAACCAAAAATATAATTAACTCATATTTTATCTAGTGGATACTGAGGTAAATTGTGATTTATGGCTGAAAATTTAATCCAAAAATTGAGTTTTTATTTCTTTTGAGTTAAATCTTGATCTAATTTTTTTTTTTTTAAATTATTCTTGTTAAAAGATTTTATAGATAAAAGAAAAAAAAACATGATGATAAAAACTAAAATATTTTTTTTTTTTTGGCAAACTGAACAGAAAAAATGAGGATCTTCCAATCACTAAAATGCGGAGGTGCTTTTTTAGCCATTTCTTTTTGTTAATGAAGGTAACATACGAGGAAAGGTTATCAGTTTAGATATCCTTTATTTTTATAAAAATTTTTTATAAGAATGTCAATATTTAATTCATATAGATTTGATATATTTTTAATTGAATGCTAATTTCTATGATTAAGATACGATCATTTGTTGCTTCACTTTAATAAACGGTCTTTAATGCTAATATATGTATTGGAAAATCAGCAACAGAATTATATTGACATGTCTTACCAACACAAATGATTTTCAATGGATGATTTTATAAATCAATTATATGATAAGTAAATCATATATTATCCCTTATTCGTCTTCTTTTTCTTTTTCTTTTTTTTAGATTTGAATCCTTTTATGTTTTCTAGAAAATATTGTCAATCATATTTTAAATCTCATTAGTATTTTTGAATTAAACAATTTAAATTAAGTGAGAAATATAAAATACTACTTCCGTCTCAAATAGATTATCTTATTTTTGTCTACCCCAAAATAACTGTATTAGTCAAAATATCAAGAATGCACTTCTTCTTTTCAAATGCTTTATTTAAGCCTATTTTATAAGAAATCTACTACTAAAATGATGGAACCAAAAAAGTCAAGCAAGAAAGTAAACTTCCTTGACAATCAAACCAATCTCATAATGGAATAAAGAAAAAGCTTCGAAACCATGGGAGCCAAATGTCCGAAAAGAAAAGGTGCAAATTCAAAACCTTTAAACTATTAAGGAATTATATATATATATATATATATATACGCTTTTCTTTTTTATTTGAGAAGAACACTTGCAGTACTCTTATGAATCTGTAGGGTGCGGTGCGCTTTTGTAGTCTATGAACTTTGAGTCACAATTAATGTGCTTTGGATATTGATTGTCCATAAATATATACTATGTATAATCCATGTATAGATAGCAATGGAATAAAAACTCAAATACGGTCACCAGCTAGAAATGCTACTTTTGGGATTGATAATGCCTACGTACAGGGCAGGAACTGCATACAAGAGAATATATATATATATATATATATATAACTTTATATATATATATATATATATATATATGAGGAACTGCATACAGAGAATATATCTTGGGAGGCTCATTACTCCAACTAGTCCCCGTGTTCCTCGAATGGATCTCATAGTTGGTGAGAGGATTGCCCAAAAGCAGTATATAAGGCATACCCAATAGAACTTACAAGTAAACCAGATATAAAGATGGCGACTAGGGTAAATGTTTCCATTGTTTTATAATAATAAAAAAATAAGAATTTCTAGACCACAATCATGTATTTACAACGGAATGGTAAACAAAGTCAACAAATCTCAATTAATACAAAATAGGATTTATGGCTACACAAAACGTTGAGGGTAGTTCTAGATTTGGTGCAAGACAAACTATTGTAGGGGATTTATTGAAACCAATTATTCACTTCGTATTGAAAAGCTAGAATTTAGTGATTCTTGTAAATCTAATTCATTGAAATTCCATCCAGTAAAACGGAAGTATTAGAAATCTCCAAAATAATAGATAGGAACAGGAAGATGCAGAGAATACTGGAACTGAGTGCTCCAAGAGATGTGAAGCTGACTGTATAGATCCAATTGGTGGAGCAGCAAGATCCATTCCAAACTGCCGACATACTTGTGAAATTCCTCCAGAAATGACTCCAGAATATAAAGTGAACAATAATGTTAGAATGTGATCTCCTTGTACGCAAATTACAAAATTTTAAATATGACGAATAAAGATGAAGTGATCAAATGATCTATCACTTCTTCAGAATTTTCAAATAATTGAAGTCAAGAGTTTATGTTCATGTGTGCTGTATTTTACAACTGATGCTTTGTGGTGGTAGTTCATGATTGTTTTGAGTCATCTTTTGATCATTCTGGAGTAGGTTTCCATCTTTTTCTTGTACTATGTGCTTGATGGATTGTTTTCTTTTACCCTTTGGATAAATCTAGTCTCAGTAACTCTTCACTCTACCCTGAAGTTAGTCTCAAAGAGGTCTCACATTTGATAGATCGTGTCTTCCAGCTATGACAAAAAAAAAAAAAAAAGATTTTCTATTTTCTTGATAATAAAAAAGTTTCATGTTAGCTGTCCTTCATAATTCCTACACCTACCACCTTCGCTGAATGAATGCTTGACCTCAGTTTCCCAATCCCGATTTACCATTTCCATAATTCGCTGGAACAAAGGATCACAGCAGCAGTATTAGCCTCAGTCACAATAGCTCAAGCTCTAATTCAACCTTTCTACACCCTTGTAGCCAAGCTAATTGTAAAGCAAGAAAAGCAGCCGGAAAAATCTAGCTTCAACTGAGAAACAAATCACTAGATTGGCCATAAAACCATGCAGCCACAAACCCCATCATCCCGCAATAAACAACCTGTCTCTGCATAACCGAGGTTGCCAGTTCCAAGAAACAAACAGGATGATCTACATTAGGATGACACATCATAACATTACACATAGCATACAAGTCTAAGTATTATAAGTGCATAGCGCATGCCTTCAGTTGCTAAATTCACTTACAAGTACGTACATACAGAGATTGTAACTCAGATTGTTAGATTCTACAGCAACAAATCGAAAATGTTGTAGTGTCAGTGAAGAAGCTGAACCCTTGCATTTTCTAATGCTGCATTTGCTGCATCTACCATTGAATCCCTCTCATGTTCAAGTTTCAAAGCTTCTTCCATTTTCTCACATGCAGCATCCAAGTTTCTCTCCGATTCTGACTTATCTTTAGAAATTTCAACAAAATGAGACTCGCACCTCAAAATCTCAGCCTCGCAGAAAGGCAATTGTTTCTCCAGTTGAAGCAGCACATCTTTTACACGTGAAACTTCTCCACGAAGTGATTGGAGGCGATTTTCTGAAGCTTCATAAGCAGATACTGCCTCCGCATGAAGCTGGGAGATGTTGTCAAACTGAGTTTTCTTCTCATTGTAATGGCCAAGGAATTGTTCTGAAGAAAAAGCTTCGCCCATAGACTCCTCAATTCCAGAAAGTTTTGATTTGCAATGAATGTATTCCATCACAGCCTTGGAAAAAGATGCATTGTCGATTGAGAGATGGCGCAAGGCATCGAAAATGGCTTCTGCCACCTTCAACATTCTTTCATGCTGAGTCTGATCCATAGACTGCAGAGTGTCGAGCAAACCTTGCCCAAATGTTTTCAAGGCTGACTTTGAAATATCATTTTTCTGCACCACAATTTTAATCCCCGAAGGCTCCTGAAAAACACTGTTTGGATGCTCAACATCCTTTCCAGGAGATTGTGGCAATGGATCATGTGGTATAACACTTTCTTCATCATTCGAAGACCTGTCTGATAAGAGAGTTGGGCCTTCAATATCACCCAAATCTTCTATAACAGGATCAAAAGAAGGAGTAGAACCTTCGACAAAAAAGAAGTGTTAGAACTTGGAACTGAAGATTTGAGGAACAAAAATAGCCAAACAAATGAATGAACAGTATGTACGGCAAAAGAAAGGTGCAGCATGAGGCTCTTGGGAACTGATCAGAGGGGTTCAAGCAACCCTACCCAATCAAAACACAGAGAGGAAATTTTAAAAAGTGATAAACAAGATCAGTCAACCACCAAAATGAAAAAGAAAAGTAAGAAAATTAACTCGATGTTATGAAATGACGATAGTGATACTAGGAGTAGCAATGCAAGTGATCAAAACACTCGGACAGCATTAAACAAACAGAACAAGTCACCCAAAAATATACACCTTCACGTGTTGTTTGCCCTGCAGCAGAAATTTGCAAAGAGAACTCTGATTCTTGGCAAAGAATCTCAGACTTGGGTATCAGTGGGGGAAGTTGAAGTGATGTCCCTGCAACAAGATCCCAAGACTCAGAGTCCTGCAAGACCATGTCCGTAACAGGGATTTCATCTTTTCTGAAAGGTGAAGCCAAGGATGAATTAGGAAAATTGTCAAAACTCTCAAATATTGCCGACTCCAACTTAATATCAGAACTCTGATCGTCTTCCTTGCGTGGTTCATTGTTCACAAGGACTTGATGATCGGTAAACAATGACCGAGGGGAAGAGTGCCCCTTGCTCTCATCTACACGCATAATCAGCATGCTATTCACTTCAGAATCCGCCCACTGGAAAAACTGACAAGCTCCATGATTCTGTATCAAAGTCAAACCACTTTACTAAGGATCTAGACAAGCAGCTATTATGAACACAAGCAAAAGCAAGAAGTAATAAAACAGGTAAAAAATAATAACTGCGTTTCAACTTGGTTATCTCACCCAAGGGCCAAGAGTTCACAGCCAGAATCAATTACTTGAAACTTGAAAGCATTAGCAAACCAGCTTTACATTTAGCGGTGATGCCCCATTGTGGCCAGGGACTTCTGTAGATTTTCTTGAGAAAATTTTAAGTGGGAGTAGTTATAAAATCAGTTTCATTTTATTCTTGTCCTTGAGAATAAGACAGATCGTGTTCGTTAAATCTAAATTGTTGAATACAAGTCAAAAGTCAGACTTACATTTAATTTTAGCATCAAATAAGAAATAACTACCCACTAATAATGAGTAAAAATCTCAAGAATTGATTAAAATAAGATCTGCCAGGGATAACACCATCCCGTCACAAAGATAATGCAGAATTGATATGAATTAAAGAGAAAATTACCGAGAGAAAAAAAAAAGAAAAATCAAGACCTAGAACACAGGACATAATAGAACATTTTTAAAAAAAGAAAAGGAAGCAAAAATCAAAGAGCACACCTTCTTAATCCGGCAAGCAAAATACCATCGGTCTCTGTCTGGACCACTTGATACAATATTTAAACTACATCTCCCAACACCACATGGACACGTAGGAGGTTTAAATCTAGCAGCAATTACGTCAGTCCATTTGAAGAATTCGCACTTACCCTGAGAATTAACAACAAAAAGCCAATATGCAAAATAAAAAAGGGTAAGGTAGGCATGAGATGTAGTGTAAAATAGTAGTGTATTAACCGATTTTGCTTTATCAACAGGACAGGCATAAAACTTTCTCCCAGGATTTTTATCAGTGCGGGAAGTGATAACTTTACATATACCCTGACCACAAGGGCAACGAACCATTGGCAAATCAGGAACATGCACTGAAGGCGAGGAGGACGATCCTGGGCTTGAGGACTCTGATTTTTTGGGGTTTTTGTTGGGGCAATCTTTGGCCCAGTGGCCAAACCTTTTGCATAGAAAGCATCGATCACATTCTTTTGGAACTGAAGGCGAGGAGGACGATCCAGGGCTCGAGGACTCTGATTTTTGGGGGCTTTTGTTGGGGCAATCTTTGGCCCAGTGGCCAAACCTTTTGCATAGAAAGCATTGATCACATTCTTTTGGGTTCCATTGAGGAGATGGATAAGCAGAGAGTGGTGTCGGTGGTGGAGTTGAGGAACATGCGTTGGTATTATAACACTCTTGGCTCTCACACGCCATCACTTCCACTGATTGTTTGGTTGCTACTGTATCCAGGAAAGAAAAGAAAACCTTTTGAACTTCTTGGAGGAGAAGAGAAAGGAGAGGAGTCAGGAGATGAAAGTCGCCGATTTGCCTTTTCTCGACGCTGACTGAATTTGTTTTTTTTCCGGTTGGACATAAAAAAGGACAGCGAGGACACTTTAGCTGAATTTAAGTCAAGAACGACAGTGCATGTAAAGAGAGGCACGTGAACCAGAATATCCTCCACTCCGCTCGACTGCTAACTGTATTATGCATGTGTCTGCAAACGAATTGGATTATGATTTCGATATAATTAAATAAATATTTTTTTTTATACGGCTTTATTATAATCCGAATTTGTTAATTATTAAATCTAGATTTATCTTAATTCTATCTAATAATAATTCAATCTATGATTTAAAATTATATATATATATATATATATATATATATGAAATTAAGTTGAAATTTATTGTTTATTTATTATAAAATTCAATTACCGCTTATCTTTTTATAATGATGGTTGTATTTTCAAAAAATCATACATAAATTTTTTGTTATCTTTTAAATTTAATTTTGTGAAAAAAATTATAAATTAGTTTATATATCTTTTCAAAAGTTGGCATTATTATATTCATCATCAACTTATTTTTGCTATCATGCTGACAAAAGGTGAAAAAAAATATTTTTTTATTTTTTGTTTTATCATGCTTCCTATTTAGTTCAAGGTAAATTTTTATTAAGATTATTTGATTTAATATTTTAAATCATGTGATATTTTGAAATATTATCTTAATTTGTTTTATTATACATTCGGTTGTTGAAATATATTTTATATTCAAACAATGTATTAAATATAGTAAAGATAAATTTTTTACAAAAACCAAGTGATAAATTCGATGGAGCTTCGAATCCGATGAGTATGTTAGGATTCGGATTCATAATAATATTTTCAAAACTCAATCTGAACTCATAAGATGTGATGCGATCTAGTTCGTTAAACAAATCAAATCCAAATCTAATATAATTTGACGAGAGTCCGACCCAATGACACCTTTAATCATACAAAAAATATAATAAATGTTTTTTTTTTCAGTCATGAAAAGGTAAGGATATTTTTGGCTCATTATGCCCAGGTTAAAATTAAATATTTTTTTTTCAAATAGCTTTTTAATAGTACATCATTTACATTTATTTTATATGTTTTAAAAATATTTTTTATATAAATATTGATTTTTTTAAAGTCCAAATTTAATAAATCAACTAAGAAAATAAATTTTTTTAACCACTCAAAATAAATAGAACTCGGTACGAACATTTCGTATGAAATTTTTCTATAACATTTCGTATGAAATTTTTCTATAATATTTATGGGGAAATAACTCAGGTCCCATGCACTAACCTATGTGTACGGTGTGTAATTGCTTTTCTAAGACTCCGTTTGTTTGACGAAAAATAACTTTCAATACAAAAAACAATTTTGGAGAAGCTATTTTTTTAAAAGTTGTTTTCCAAAAAATATTTTCTAACATTTAGCAATTACATGAAAAAATTACTAAAAAAAATATTCTAACGTTTTTTTGATATAAAAAATTAAAATACAAAAACAAGGTGTGATTGTTGCATGAACGAGTTTTGAGGGACCTTCAGCAAGACATTGTCACAATCTCACAAGTATAAAAAATTATTAAAAGATCTCACATCCATAATAGTCCATATACAAAAAGCTATCAAAACAGAACATATGACTTACCGATATGTTGATGTATTAAAACAGAAAGTATCGGTTATAATCGAGAATATATCGAGGCGAGAGACTAATAGCGTTGAAATATCATTTCGACCATAATTTTTTTTTATTCGACCGTAGGAAATATTTGAAAATCAATTTACAATTCAAACTAAATCTTTTTTTTTTAATATTTTTAAAATCAATAAATTGCATTTAGAAAAAATTAATAAATTTTTATAAATACCGACTCTAAATTCAAAAAATAAAAAAATAATAAATGTTTTTTTAACCATCAAACCAATGCATCAAAACTATTTGGGATAAAATCAAGTCAATATTCATATTTAGTAAAAAAATAATAACAAGTAATTCTAGCATTGCTATTTTGGTAATTCAATTAAGATTTTTTTTTTTTGAAAATTAAACTGATAATTTAGTTTAAAAATTAGTTTTACAAATTACTAGTTATCATTTGTAGATAATTATTAATTTGATTTCAAAAGATTAATGTTGAAATAATTTATAAATAATTATTGACTATAATTACCAATAAAATTTTACAATTGATTCAAATTAGTCACAAATTATTGATTTATTTGTAAATGAATAGTGTTGGAAAAATAATGTATTTATTAATGAATTAATTTTTTTCACAAATGATTGCAATCTTGTAATAATTATTTTTAATTATGTTAGTATAGTTTAGGTGGTGTTTGGGATAATGGTAAAAAAAAAAAAAAACAGAGATAAATTATTGAAATATTTATTATAAAAATAATTTTAAGGTGTAAAAATGATTTTTAAGAATATTTAATATATTTATAAATCAAAAAATCAAATGTTAGTAGAAATAGAGAAAAAAATAATTAAATAATTGATAAGAAATAATTAAAAATTAATTTGATATATTTTAAATGAAAAGGAAGATGGAGAAAAAATTTTTTTAAAATATATCGAGAGAGAGGTGAGTAATGCGAGAACGAGACAGTTTGTGAGAGAGAGAGAAAATGTTTTCTTCTTTTTTAGTTGAAAAGTGACTTTCTTAGAAAATAGTCTATTAATTTCGTTGACTTTTTTTTCCTAAACACCAAACAAATATAAAAAAATAGAGAAAACGGGGAAAATAAGTTCCCGGAACTTATTTTTTTCCGAAACAAACATAGCCTAAATAGTTTTTCCTGATTTATGTGTGTGTTTGTGAATATACATGCAATCAAAGTCATTGAAAATTATAAAACATAAATTTAATGTTTTTTTTAATTAGAAAGAATGTGAAGTTTTCAGATTATAAGTCCTTTTTTTATATATAATTCAAATTGTAAGTTCTTAATAATGAATTAAGAAATCATGAAATAAATCTTGAGATTCATTGGAGCATTTAAAGAGATTAATTTATTTTTTTTGTAATAAATATAATTAATTAATATTTTTTATTTTTCACGTAGCACCCTTATAAGCATGGATCTTTTGCAATTCCTAAACAAGATATCAAAACAATATGTAGTCAATGTGTATTTATGTTTTGTGAAGAAGATGATCATGGCTTAAGAATTTAGTTCTTTGCTACATGGCTAGTTCATTTACGGATGTTATTACATTTTTTGGAGTGACACATTGCATATATTCGTTATTTTTTTTTTAATAAAAAGATAAAAAATCTTGCAAGATCATGTTTCTAATTTGACAATTAAATCATTATCACCGATGCATTAGGGAAGTTGTGTTGAAAGTGTTAAAGCAATAAAATTTCAAGCTCCACAAATAAGAGACGCTTTATATCAATTAGCGAAAACTAGTGAAGATCGTAAAACAAAAAGTGAAGCTATTTCTTTAGCAACATATGATATTAAAAATTATAAATTTCTATTAGGCATGATTATTTGGTATGATATATTGTTTGATGTTAATTTGGTTACTAAATATTTACAATCTAAAACTATGGACATTATTGTTGCAAAAAATCACTTAAAAGGTCTTGTTTCTTTTTTGAAAACTATAGAGAAAATATGTTTACATCTTTTATGATTTACGCTAAAAAGATTATCCAGCAAATGAATATAGATCTAAAATATCATAAAAAAACATACAATAAAGAGAAAAAAACAATTCGATGAGAATGAAAACGAAGAGTTAAAATTGTTTATCAAAGAATCTTTTAAAATAAATTATTTCACATATTTAGTTGATCACATCATTTCTTGACTTCAAAGCAAAGTTGAACAATTTAAAATATATGAAGATAATTTTTGTTTTCTTTATAACGTAAAAATATTAAAATTACTCAATGATTATAATTTGGAGCAAAATTGTTTAAAACTTGAAAACTTTCTAAAACATGACACGCTATCCGATATTGATGGTTTAGATTTATTTTTAAAATTAAAAGTTTTAAATGAAATTATAAACATAAAAGTTAAAACACCATTTGAAGTACTAAATTTAATAAAAAAAAGTAGTTCTTTTCCAAATGCATAATTAGCTTATAGAATACTATTAACTATTCTTGTTACTCGTAACTTCAATAGAAAGAAATTTTTTCAAAACTAAAATTAATAAAATTATATTTACATTCAATTATGTCACAAAAAAAGATTAAGTAATTTGACTATATTATCAATTGGAAAAGATTTGGTTTCTAAACTCGAATATAAAAATTTAATTAATGATTTTACATTTTAAAAGCTAAAAAAATATTTTTTTAATATGTATTTATATTATTAGAGGACTATCAAAATAATTATTGTCTAGGGACACAAATATTCTTCGGACGGTCCTGGCTATTGTATCCAGAAAAGAATAGTAAACCTTCTGAACTTTTGGAGGAGAAGAGAAAGGAGAGGACTCGGGAATTGAAAGTGGCCGATTTTGCTTTTTTCCGACGGGGACTGAAATGAAGCGCGGCCGGGGACCTTTTTTTCTGGTTGGACATAAGAAAAGGCAAGCGAGAGGACTTTAGCTGAAATTTAAGTCAAGAAAGACATGCACTGCTTCAGAGTAAAGAGAGGCACATTTGGACCAGAATTTTCTCCACTCCACTCGAATACTGACCGTATCATGCATATGTGTGTAAATGAATTGGATTTAATTTCGATATAATTAAATAAATATTTTTTATCCGATTTTATTTTAATCCGAATGTGTTAATTTATTTATTAAACGGATAAATCTAGATTTATTTTAATTTAATTTAATAATAATTCGATCTGAAATTAAAAATATATTTTTTTAAATATTAAAAATTTTTATATATATATATATATATAATTTATTTATTATAAATTTCAAATAACGTTTATATTTTTACAGTGATGTCTATATTTTCAAATAATCATATATAAATTTTTTGTTATTTTTTAATTTACTTTTGTGAAAAAATTTATAAATTAATTTATATACTTTTTCAAAATTTAGTATTATTATATTTATCATTAACTTATTTATGCTATAATGTGGACAAGAAATAAAAATTATTTATTATTTTTTTTAATTTTATCATATTTCCTACTTAATTCAAGACAATTTTTTATTAAAATTATTTGATTTTATGCTTTCAAATTGTGTGGCATTTTGAAATATTATCATAATATATTTTTTTATACATGCAATAGTTGAAATATATTTTATATTCAAACAATATATTAAATATAGTAAGGACATATTTTTTACAAAAATCAGATGAAAAATCCGACGGAGCTTCGAATCCGTACGTTAGGATCTGAATTCATAATAATATTTTTCAAACTCAATCCAAACTTATAAAATACTATGCAATCCATTTTATTAAATAAATCAGATCCAAATTTACTATAATTCGATGAGAATCCGACCCAATGACACCTTTAGTCATGCAAAGAACAGAATAATTTTTTTTTAAAATCATGAGAAGGCAAGGATATTTTTGGCTAATTGTCCCAAGGTCAAAAATTTTTTTTTTCAAATAAGTTTTTAATAGACATCATTTACATTGATTTTAAAGTTCAAATTTAATAAAGCAGCAAAGAAAAATAAATTTTTTTAAGTACTAAAAATAAATAGAACTCGGTATGAACGTTCGCTGGAAATTTTTCTATAATATTTATGAGGAAGTAACTTAGGTCGCATGCAATAACCTATGTGTATGGTGTGTAACTGCTTTTCTAAGTAGTTTTTCCTAATATATATTTGTGTATTTGTTAATAAATTTGAAATCAAAGTCATTGAAAATTATAAAACATAAATTTAATGTTTTCTATTAGAAAGAATGCCGAGTTTTCATATTATAAGTTTTTTTTTTTTGATAATTCATATTGAGAGTTCTAAATAATGAATTAACAAATCATGAAATAAATCTTGAGATTTATTGGAGCAATTAAAGAGATTAATTGATTTGTTTTGCAATAAATATAATTAATATATCTTTTGCAATTCCTAAACAAGATATCAAAACAATATGTATTCAACGTGTATTTATGTTTCGTGAAAAAGATGATCATGGCTAAACTACAATAACATCCTGCCTTTTTTAACATCTGTTCATTTTGTCCTACTTAAAATTTAAGGTTTTTCAAATCAAATATACTTTGAAAAACACCCATTTCGGGCTGCACTTGGCACATTCAGCTATATATATTTAATGAACAAGTTAGTGTTGGGTGTAGACCAAGACGAAGAAACAAACACAAAAGTTTTCGGTTCAAATTTCTTGCTAAATCTTTCTAGAGCCCTGCATCTCCCTTGAATCCGAAAAAAAAAAAAAAAAAAACTCTTATTTTCCCATACGTGGCAGACTTGTATAAAGCCTAAAGATAACTCTGGTTTAGTATTATTTTTCTATTTTTTGTTATGGGTGAACTTTGAATGAATTTGTTTCATCCTTTCTGCTTAATTTAGTTCACTTCACTAGCATTTGATTTCGTCAATGTGAAGAATTTCAGTAGCTACGGAAAAATATTCACGAACCCAGATTTCAAATGCGGAAACGGTAACAAACAACATCCATTGAATATCAAGCAAAATCAAAAGTTAGCGAGAACAGCCTAGAGCACTAGCTCTTGAATGGCCTGGTTCAACCCCATCCAAAATCAAGTTCCATTGCACATATGAAACCTAGAATTGGCCCAATGTTGTAGGATCCAAGTTCAAGAGTGACGATATTCATAAACAAATCTTGCCACATTTAAGAAGGGAGAAATTGAGAAATAGAAAAGGCCGAAGCCCATATTGTTGTGCTCGTCAAGCTTGCTGCTACCCATAACATAGGCTAATAGCAAAACTGGCAAATTAATGTATTAAGATCCTCTCATATAGTTAAGAAACATGAACTGTGTTTTGTAATTTCGTTCCTGTAAATTAATTAAAAAGCAACTATTTGAATTTTTGAAACATGTTATTTAGAAAATATGAGAGGAGTCAAATCTACATCTCTTATGACGAATACTGAGGCTAATATGCTAGCTGTCCAGACTCCTGCAGTCTAGAGATCTTCGAAAATTTATATGGTAGCTGCATATAGATACACGAGCAAATAATGTTGTTAAACGCAAAATTTTAAATGGAAAACGCGATCAATTCGATAAGGACATATTTTATTTGTTACATCAATTTCATGCAAGATGCATCATAACTGGAAAAATCAAATTCAACTTGGTAATAACAAACTGAATGTAATAATCGAACCCAAAACAACACGAACAAAGACAAATAAATTGACGAGGAAAACTGCAATAAATATTAATTAACCAAGCATGCGGCATATGTGATGTTCAACCGCATTTTATTTGCAGCTGAAAGACCGCCGGATGTTGCACTTCGATGGAAGCTGCACGCATGGCGAAGTTGGGATCTATATTTTTTATGGATAACACTTTAGGTGTTGTTTGATAATCAAGAATAGAGTGGTGGGAATGAAAATAAAAATTTTATTCTCACCTTATAACTATTTGGTTAAAAGGAATGAAGTAGGAATGAAAAAAAGAATGAGAATGAAAATGAAAATTTCCATATAACTTCATTCCCATATAAGATGTGGTAATAAAAATAAGGAATAAGAATAAATTTGTTTTTTAAATAATCATATATTTTATTTATTTATTATCTATTAACTACCTTTATCACAATCACCACAACCACAAGCACCACCCCTACTAGAACTATCGCTGTCATAACTACCGCCACTATCATCTTTATTATTTTTATAATCATTATAGTTTAATAAAATTATTTTTACAATCATTATTTTTATTTGTATAAAAAATCATATATTAAAAAATTTAAATTATATTTTGATTCTTCATTGATATTTTAAACACAATATAAGAATACAAATTTTATTTTGATTTCTTAATTTTTATTTCGATTCCTATATTTTCATTTCAGAACTTTCATTTTTTATAACCTATCGACACTTAAGGTAGTTTTTCTTAAAAAGGAAAAGACACGTGAGGTCAGCTTTCGCTAGAGCCGAGCAACATGGATATGATGGTGGAACAGGGACAACACCTCTCTGCGCCGATGGCTTACATGAACGAAAACCCTCTTTGGTCATGCCTCACAAGGTGGCCTGTCTTTTTGCCGCAATGGGCTTTAACACTAGGACGAAGGCCATGACCAATGCCACAATGGCAAGCTTCTTTGTGCGTGCCTCCATAGCTCTCAAAATGTCTAGCTAGATACTAAACTCTCTTTGTTATCCCTTTTTTTTGCAGACCTGTGAAGAGAGCTATTGGCACGTGAGGACTTATATAGCAATGAAGATATGAAAAATAAATTATATTGGTGATACTTTCTTCATAAGGAGAAGAAGGGAAAAGACAAAAAATTTCAGGTCGGATTGTTCTTAGACAAAAAACATACTCTTTAACTATATATCATGCTCATCCCTTATATGGTGTGAATTGCTATGGAAATACACAGCAGATCAACCTAGTCTCTAAAATCTGACAACGATTAAGAAAGTTTCATCCCTTTAGGGCTATACATACGCCCGTACCACCAGAAGGCAAAAACCACCTGGCAGTAACAAAAAAAGAAAATATTGTAGACTGTATTCTGAATGCTAAAAGAAAAGGGCACGAAACCATTCAAAGAGAATGTGCATAAGATCAATATACAACTCAAAATTTCATTTTTTTCATAATTATTCGAAACCAAACTGTAAAACCGTTTGCTCACTTCTACATATGACAGTATTATAACGAAAGATCTCAAACAATTCAATCATCAATACAAAAAGACATACAAAATTTTAATCAAAATAATTCAAAAAAAAATTCAAATATGAGAAAAACCAAATTATTATTTTAAACTTAACCGTTAATTAGCTTAATAATTTTTCTTTAATTTCCCAATTTAATTTTGAATAATTTTTTCTTATATTGATATTGGTACCATGTAATTTAAAATAAAATTTGATAACTAATAATTTTAATAAAAAATATTTTAAAAATGTATAAAGGAAAAATACTAATGACATAATAATTAATATATTTTTTTAAATTGTTTGAAAAGTTGAACATAGTAATTAATATTTTTTTTAACATAAATAAAAAGTCAAATATTTTTTTTTCTTATGACAGAATGAGTAATATCTTTTTGGATTTGTATTGATTTGTACAATTGTATATGTAAGGAAAAGAAATAATAACCAAGCAAAATATTAAAATTGGGTTATTTACTGTTTTTAACCTTTGAGCAATATATATGGAAAACAACATAAATTAATCATATAAAAATAAACTCTTCTAATGCACATGAAAAAGTAAAGTATAACGCCATTTAAATGAGATATATCATGGATTAATCCATCTGTTTGTATTATTTATTTGTATATATACGGGAGTGGAGCTAGGATCCATAGTAAAGACGGGAAAAATAAAAAGTACTATTTCGATAGATATTAATGCACAAATAGTATTATTTTATAGTATAAAGTGGCTTTAAACAATATTATCGTGTCAAAATTGAATTGTAAAATACAAACTAATCCATTTAAATGACAATTTCATTTTACAATTATTCAAAACAAATTATTTTTTAGTAGATCTTTTTTTTTTTTAATTGACAATAAAGGTATTGTGTTTTTTTTTTAAGGAATATATATATATATATATATATATATATATATATATATATATACACTCTCTTATGTGCAGTTCCTCTCCAGTATACAGGCATTATCAATCCCAAAAGTAGCGTTTCTAGCTAGTGGTAGTATTTGAGTTTTTATCCCATTACTATCTGTACATGGATTATACATAGTGTATATTTATGCACAATCAATATCCAAAGCACACTAGTTGCGATTTAAAATTTATGGACTACAAAAGCGCACCGCGCTCTACAGATTAATAAGAGTACTGCGAGTGTTCTTCTCAAATAAATAAGAAAAGCATGAGCGTTATTTTGGTTTGTGTATTGGAGGTATGGAGGAGAAACATGATATATTGAGCACTTTCTTGGTGATGTTGATGGTCATGGTTTCTTGTTCTTCAAAAACGACCGCTGCAGAGAATACTGGAACTGCGTGCGCCAAGAGATGTGAAGCTGACTGTAATAGATCCAATTGGTGGAGCAGGAAGGTGCATTCCAAACTGCCGACCTACCTGTGAAATTCCTCCAGAAATGACTCCAGAGAATAAAGTGAACAATAATGTTAGAATGTGAACTCCTTGTACACAAATTACAAAATTTTAAATATGATGAATAAAGATGAAGTGATCAGATGGTCTATCACTTCTTGTCTTAAGAATTTGCAAATAATGGAAGTCGAAAGAGTTTATGTTCATGCACTGCCTTTCTCAATTGATGCTTTGTGGTGGTGGTTCATGATTGTTTTGAGCCATCTTTTGATCATTTTGAATTAAGGTTCCGTTCTTGATGATAAAGAGTTTCCTGTTAGCTATCCTTCATAATTCCTACACCTATTTCCTTCCCTAAATGAATGCTTGACCTGAATTTCCCAATCCCGATTTACCATTTCCATAATTCGCTGGAACAAAGGATCATAGCAGCAGTATTAGCCTCAGTCACAATAGCTCAATCAAGCTCTAATTCAACCTTTCTATACCCTTGTAGCCAAGCTAATTGTAAAGCAAGAAACGCAGCCGGAAAAATCTAGCTTCAACTGAGAAACAAATCACTAGATTGGCCATAAAACCATGCAGCCACAAACCCAATCATCCTGCAACAAACAACCAGTGCCTGCATAACCGAGGTTGCCTTTGCTAGCTCCTTCTATGGTAACCTTCGCCCATGTTATGAAGTCCTCGTTCTGCTTGGAACCTATTTTAGCCAAGAAGTCAGCATTTGGTTCCGTCGCTCAAACAACCAAAAAACATCAGCTTCCAGTTCCAAGAAACAAGCAGCATAATCTACATTAGGATGAAGCATCATAATATTATACATAGCGTACACGTCTTTAGTATTATAAGAGTGGCACATGCCTTCCGTAGCTAAATTCACTTACAAGTACATACATACTGACATTGTAACTTAGATAGTTAGATTCTACAGCAAGAAATCGGGAAGTGTCATTGTTCACTGAAGAAGCTGAACCCTTGCATTCTCTAATGCTGCATTTGCCGATTCTACAATTGAATCCCTATCATGCTCAAGTTTAAAAGCTTCTTCCATTTTCTCAGATGCAGCATCCAAGCTTCTCTCTGATTCTGACTTATCTTCAGAAATTTCAGCAACATGAGACTTGAGCCTCAAAGTCTCAGCCTCACAGAGAGACGATTGTTTCTCCAGTTGAAGCAGCACATTTTTTACACGTGAAACTTCTCCATGAAGTGATTGGAGGCGATTTTCTGAAGATTCATAAGCAGATACTGCCTCCACATGAAGCTGAGAGATGTTGTCAAACCGAGTTTTCTTATCATTGTAATTGGCAAGGAATTGTTCTGAAGAAAAAGCTTTGCCCATAGACTCCTCAATTCCAGAAAGTTTTGATTTGCAATGAATGTATTCAATCACAGCCTTGGAAAAAGATGCATAGTCGATTGAGAGATGGCGCAAGGCATCAAAAGTGGCTTCCGCCACCTTCAGCATTTTTTCATGCTGAGTTGGATCCATAGACTGCAAAATGTCGAGTAAACCTTGTCCAAATGTTTCCAAGGCTGACTTTGAAATATCATTTTTCTGCACCACAATTTTAATCCCCGAAGGCTCCTGAAAAACACTGTTTGGATGCTCAGCATCCTTTCCAAGAGATTGTGGCAATGGATCTTGTGGTATATCACGTTCTTCATCATTTGAAGAACTGTCTGATAAGAGAGTTGGGCCTTCAATATCACCCACAACTTCTACAACAGGATCAAAAGAAGGAGTAGAACCTTCTACAAAAAATAAGTGTTAGAACTTGGAACTGAAGATTTGAGGAACAAAAATAGCCAAACAAATGAATGAACAGTATGTACGGCAAAAGAAAGGTGCAACATGAGGCTCTTGGGAACTAATCAGAGGGGTTCAAGCAACCCTACCCAATCAAAACACACAGAGGAAATTGTAAAAAGTGATAAACAAGATCAGTCAACCACCAAAATGAAAAGGAAAAGTAAGAAAATTAACTCAATGTTATGAAATGACAGTAGCGATACTAGAAGTAGCAATGCAAGTGATCAAAACACTCAGACAGCATTAAACAAACAGAACAAGTAACCCAAAAATATACACCTTCACGTGTTGTTTGCCCTCCAGCAGAAATTTGCAAAGAGAACTCTGATTCTGGGCAAAGAATCTCAGACTTGGGTATCGATGGGGGAACTTGAAGGGCTGTCCCTGCTACAAGATCGCAAGACTCAAAGTCCTGCATGACCACGTCCCTAACAGGGATTTCATCTTTTCTGAAAGGTGAAGCCATGGATGAATCAGGAGAATTGTCTAAACTCTCAAATATTGCTGACTCCAACTCAATATCAGAACTCTGATCGTCTTCCTTGCATGGTTCATTGTTTAGAAGGACTTGGTGATCAGTAAACAATGACCGAGGCACAGAGTGCCCCTTGCTCTCATCTACACGCATGATCAGCATGTTATTCACTACAAAATCCGCCCATTGGAAAAACTGACAAGCTCCATGATTCTGTATCAAAGTCAAACCACTTTACCAAGGATATAGACAAGCAGCTATTATGAACACAAGCAAAAGCAAGAAGTAAAAAGGCAGGTAAAAAATAATAACTGCGTTTCAACTTGGTTATCTCACCCAAGGGCCAAGAGTTCACAGCCAGAATCAATTACTTGAAACTTGAAAGCATTAGCAAACCAGCTTTACATTCAGCAGTGATGCCTCATTGTGGCCAGGGACTTCTGTAGATTTTCTTGAGAAAATTCTAAGTGGGAGCAGTTATAAAATCAGGCTCATGTTATTATTGTCCATGAGAATAAGACAGATCTTGTTCGTTAAATTTAAATCGTTGAATACAAGTCAACAGTCAGACTCGTATTTAATTTTAGCATCAAATATGAAATAACTACCCACTACTAACGAGTAAAAATCTCAACAATTGATTAAACTAAGATCAAACAGGAATAGCACCATCCCGTCACAATGATAATGACCCAATTGATTATGAATAAAAGGGCAAATTACTGAGGAAAAAAAAATCACGACCCAGAACGCAGAACAGATTAGAACATTGTTGAAAAAAGAAAAGGAAGCAAAAAACAAAGAGCACACCTTCTTGATCCGGCAAGCAAAATACCATCGGTCTCTATCTGGACTACTAGATACAAAATTTAAACTGCATATCCCAGCACCACATGGACACATAGGAGATTTAAATCTAGCAGCAATTACATCAGTCCATTTGAAGAATTCGCACTTATCCTGAGAATTAACAACAAAAAGCTAATATACAAAATAAAAACGGTAAAGGCAGATCAAGACACGTAGACTGTAAAATAGTAGTGTACAAACCGATGTTCTATGATCACCAGGGCAGGTATAAAACTTTCTCCCAGTATTTTTATTAGTGGAAGCAGTGTAAACTTTACAATTACCCCGACCACAAGGGCAACGAACCACTGGCAAATCGGGAACCTGCACTGAAGGCGAGGAGGATGATCCAGGGCTTGAGGCCTGTGATTTTTTTGGGGTTTTGTTGGGGCAATCTTTGGCCCAATGGCCAAACCCTTTGCATGTAAAGCATTGATCATCTTCTTTTGGGCTCCATTGACGAGATGGACAAGCAGATAGTGGTGGCGGTGGTGGAGTTGAGTAACATGGATTGGTATCAGAACGCTCTTGGCTCTCACACGCCATCACTTCCACTGATTCTTTGGTTGCTACTGTATCCAGGAAAAGGAAGCCTTCTGAACTTCTTGGAGGAGAAGAGGAAGGAGAGGAGTCAGGAGATCAAAGTGGCCGAATTTGCTTCTTTTTTTTTTCGACACTGACTGAAATAAAGAGCAGCAGGGAACTTTATTTTCTGATCGGGCATAAGAAAAGGGAAGTGAGAGGACTTTAGTTGAAGTTTAAGTCAAGAAAGACAGACCTTACTCACAGTCCAACGTGATGCACATGAACCAGAAGATTCTCCACTCCACTGAACCACTGGCTGTATCTTGCAAATTACCGAATAAATGTTTTCTTTTTTCATAATTAGAAGATTAAGGGTATTTTTGGCTGATTATACCTAGATCAAAATTTTTTTTTTCCAAAACGATTTTGATAGGACATCATTTAAAAAAAAAAAAAAGTGGTCAGCAAAAGAGCATTGAGTACTGCATTTGTTGTCGTTGTTTGCTCTTCAGAATAAGGTCGTATACTTTTGCACTAAAAAAGCATCCTGATGTGGTTAGTTTTCAATAAAAAGTTCGATAGGCCAAGGATTTTTCTTTCTAGACCCATGGAAATGAAATCAGTTCTTCCCTCTTCGTTGTTGTGCCAGAATTTTATTTTATTTTTTGGTCCCTAGTTAGGCCACGTGTCAGTTTTAACTTCTAATTGATAGAGTTACTTCTAGGTTTCTTAAATGGTTTTGACTAACAGCTCAGCCCACTTGCTAAAATAACTACAATGGGTTAGTCCAGCCTGAAACTAAATGAATCTAGAAAAATTACTGGCCTAAAAAGACGAGATTTTTTTTTAACAAATAAAATATGAACCCGCACATACAACTAGAATAAATTATAAATTAGTTCCTTTTGTTTAAAAAAATAAAATAATTATTTTTTTTCGTCAAAAACTACTCATTTAGTTTTCTATATTTTAATTTTATCAATAACTTAATTTTTTTTATCAGTTTTATTTTAGATTAATAATTTTTGTTTCAAAATTGTTTTTTTAAATTGGATAAAAAAAAGAGAATGAATAAAAAAATAAATACGACAACTAATGAAGTATGATGTGAAAAAAAGAAGCTAATCTAATTAAAAATTAATAAAAAATTTAAATAATTAATAAAATTAAAATATAAAAGATTAAATAATTAGTTTTTAAAATAAAAAAAAAACTGATTGAATTTTATCTCTCTGAGTGAATTAGAATTGTATATTTTGGTACTTATAGCGCAGCAGGGAACTCTTTTTTCTGATTGGACATAAGAAAAGGGAAGCGAGAGGACTTCAGCTGAAATTTACGTCAAGAAAGGCTAGTGCATTACTTTAGCGTAAAGAGAGGCACATGAAGCAGAATATTCTCCGCTCCACTCGACTACTGACTGTATTAATGCATGTCTGTAAACGAAGGGGATTTGATTTCGATATAACTAGTTTATTTTTTTACACTAGATCATCGAAGAGATAAAATATATAAAATTATTAAAATTTTTTTTTATCAATACTCGTTTTGATAATCTGTATTATGATATGAATCTATAAAAATATAAAAAATTAAAGATAAAAAAATCAAAATTTTATATTTAACTATTTCTTATTTGTATTTTTCATAATTTTTCCGTTAGAAAAAAGATTTATTCTTATTAATTCATGAATTATTAAAAAAAATTAAATAATTTTTTTAAAAATGCTTTAGTATTTCATAAGATTGTGTTGAAAAAATAAAACAACAATTAATAAAAATTTACATAGAATTGAATAAATAAAATTTTTATTTAATGTTAATGAGAATATCGATTTTTTAAAGAATGTTAATTTAATTTTTATATATTTACTCATAAAAGAATGGATAATATTAAAATAAAAACTATATTAATTTGAATCATTGAGTGGTTAAGCCAAAACATAATTTTAATTATTTAATTTAAAATATTCAAAAATAAATAAATAGTAAATGCTTAGTGTAGTAGTAGTTGCACGAGTTAATTTTAAAAAAAACAATGATTTAATATTTTTTTATACATCATAACTATATTAAGTGGATTCGAAGTTTTCAAGATAAAACGAAAAAGCATTATAAAAAAAGTTACTTTCATGGAATATATTGACTAAATTTAAAGTTAGTAGATTAAAATAAAAATTATTACAAAATTGATTTCAAAAAATTTTGATTATATAAAAAGGAAACAAATAAAACACGTGAATTTTTTTCTTTTTTATTCCTTCTTCTTAAATAATTTTTTTATTTCTATATTATACATGGCTAGTCTTTGAATACGGGCCTCACGTGCTTTGAGTAACCATCTCCTTATTATTTTTTACATTTGACTTTCAATTATTAATTAACTAATTTGAGTTTTAAAAAAATCGAGGAAAAATTATTTGAAATACACTTTTAATATAAAAATGTATTTCAAACAGATTATATATATTAATCCTGCCATTGTAATTTAAAAATTATATAAATCTATTTTTTCAAAAGAAAAAATAATCATGTTCTAAAAATTTATTCTAAAATCTAAACATATAGAACAATAAATCAAAATTGTCAATAAATATAATTTTAAATTAATTGGATGAGAATTAAAAAAAAACATATTAAAGTAGTAAATTTTAAATAATAAAAGTAATTAACAAAAAATATCAAAACAAAATATGATCAAATCACAATACAATTGAAGTTTGAAATAAATAAAATTATATAGAAAAACTAAGGACCAAAGTATTATAAAAATGTCATGAATAGAGAACAGAATAATGATTTGTGAGTGTGTGAACAGTATTATAAATAGTGAAAACCCGTTTTGTTTTAGTGTTTTTTTATAATTAAATAAATATTTTTTTATCTGATTTTATTATAATCCAAATTTGTTAATTCATTTATTAAATAGATCAAATCTAAATTGATTTTAATTTAATTTAATAACAATTCAATATGAAATTAAAAATAATATTTTTAAAATAATAAAAATTCAAATATAAAAATATATATTTAAATATGAATTATTTATTATAAAGTTCAAATAACGTTTATATTTTTGCAATGACGACTATATTTTCAAAAAATCATATATAAATTTTTTGTTATTTTTTAATTTAATTTCGTGAAAAAATTTATAAATTGATCTATATACTTTTTCAAAAATTAGCGCTATTATATTTATCATCAACTTATTTTTTCTATCACGTGGACAAGAAATAAAAATTATTTATTATTTTTTTAGTTTTATCATATTTTCTACCCGATTCAAGACAAATTTTTGTTAAAATGATTTTATTTTATGCTTTTAAATTGTTTGGTATTTTGAAATATTATTATAATATATTTTATTATATATATAGTTGTTGAAATATATTTTATACTCAAATAATATATTAAATGTAATAAGGATAAATTTTTTATAAAAATCAATTGACAAATTCGATGAAATTTCAAATTTCATCCGAGTACGTTAGGATCCGGATTCATAATAAAATTTTCAAAACTCAATCCAAAATCGTAAAATGCAATACGATTCGTTTTATTAAATAAATCAGACCTGAATCTACTATAGTTGGATGAGAGTTCAACCCAATGACACCTTTAATCATGCAAAGAACATAATAATTTTTTTTAAAAAAAAAACCATGAAAAGGCAAGGATATTTTTGGCCGATTGTACCTAGGTCAAAATTATTTTTTTCAAATAAGTTTTTAATAGTACAACATTTACATTGATTTTATATGTTTAAAAAATATTTTTTATATAAATATTGATTTTAAAGTTCAAATTTAATAAATCAGCAAAGAAAATAATTTTTTTTAACCACTAAAAATAAATAGAACTCGGTACAAACGTTCTGCACGAAATTTTTCTATAATATTCATGAGGAAGTAACTCAGGTCCCACGCACTAACCTACGTGTATGGTGTGTAATTGCTTTTCTAAATAGTTTTTCCTAATATATACGTTTGTCTGTGATTATGTTTGCAATGAAAGTCATTGAAAATTATAAAACATAAATTTAATGTTTTTTTTTATTAGAAAGAATGCCGAGTTTTCACATTATATATATATATATATATATTTTGATAATTCATATTGTAAGTTCTCAGTAATGAATTAAGAAATCATGAAATAAATCTTGAGATTTATTGGAGCAATTAAAGAGATTAATTGATTTGTTTTGTAATAAATATAATTAATTAATTTATTTTTAGTTTTCATGCAGCACCCTTATGAACATGGACCTTTTGCAATTCCTAAACAAGATATCAAAACAATAGGTAGTCAATGCGTATTTATGTTTCGTGAAGAGGATGATCATGGCTGAACCACATTAACATCCTGCCTTTTTAAGATTTATTCATTTTGTCCTACTTAAAATTTTATGTTTTCAAATCAAATATGCTTTGAAAAACACCCATTTCGGGCTGCACTTGGCACATTCAGCTATATATATTTAACGAACAAGTTAGTGTTGGGTGTAGACCAAGAAGAAGAAACAAACACCAATGTTTTCGATTCAAATTTCTTGCTAAATCTTTCTAGAGCCCTAGCTCCCCCATGAATCCCCATCCGCAACACCGCCCCACCCCCCCCAAAAAAAAAAAAAAAACAACTTGAGCCACAGAAATTTCGTACTTTAATTCCCATACGTGGCAAACTCGTATAATGCATTAAAGACTTAACTTTAACTTAACATTACTCGATGTTTTTTTTTCCTATTTTTGGTTATGCGTGAACTTTGAATGAATTTTTTGCATCCTTTCTTCTTAATTTAGTTCCCTTCACTAGCGTTTGATCTAGTAAAAAATTTCAGTAGTCACGGCAAATTATACGAACCCAGATTTCAAATATGAAATAATAAAAAACAAAATCCAAAGTTAGTGAAAACAGCCTAGAACACTAGCTCTTGAATAGTCTGATTCAACCCATCCAAAATCAAGTTGCATTGCACATATGAAACCAAGAATTGGCCCAATATCTTAGGATCCAGGCTTAAGAGTGATATTTATAAATAAACATTGCCACATGATCAAGAGAGATGGAGAAATAGAAAAATGCAGAGAAGCCCATATTGTTGTCCCCGTGAATGTATATATTTCCATGGAAATTGAAAGAAGTCAGAGAATATTTATAGATCTTGGATTTTAGTATTTAGTGGTTGGGGGCGAGATAGAGCCGGTTGCCTGGTTTGGTATCGGGACAGCTATTTGTTTTGTTGGAGAAAGAAAAAAACAAAAGGATTATCTTTCGATATGAAGAGGAGAGTTCTGGTGTTTAGAAAATAAAGCCATTACCAACTCTACAAACGGCATTGCTTTTTTCACTTCCTTACTTACTTATAGTGCAGCAGGAAATTTCCTATAACAAATTTTTTACCGGTTTAACATATATATTTTTTCCTGGTATATTGAAGTCTGTATTATCAATTTGATCAATTTTGGTGTTGAGCTATGATGTTTTGAATAAATACTGTCTTTCTGTATGATTTGATGTTAGTTTTAATCAAAATCTCTTTAATTTTTTTTTCATATTTTATTATTTTTTAATAATATTTTTTTTCGTAAATACTAATGAAAATTCAGTCCACGTTTTCAATTAATTTTAAAAAATTTTGAAGTCAAAAAGGTATATATTTTTTTAATTTTTTAGACAATAAAAATTTAATAAATTATGAAACATAGAAAATGAGCTAGAATTATCTCAATTTTATTTTTTAGAGAATCTCGAGGAAATCATATGAATTTACCTATATAATTTTAATGCGATTCTCAAAATTTTTGTTTATTTGGTTCCAAAACTAACTTATTTTAATCCTAGCTAGTTAGATGATATTCATTCGACCATACAAATATTTTACAAATCATACTAAAAATAAACGAGATAAATTTATAAATTCTTTTTAGAATCTCCAATAAAATTTGGAATCATTATAAAAAATTTTCTATATCTAATAAATTTTTTAATATTTTAATGTTTAAAAAATGCTTCTTGACCTAAAAAAGTTTTGAAATTATTTTTAAAATAGATTGAATTTTTATTAGTATATGTGAAATTTTCAGCTCAAAATACTAAAGATTAAATTATTTTGAACAAAATTTTGATCAATGATAACTTTCAAATTAAACAAATATTGAACAATATTTATTCGAAACATGCTAATTTAAAGATAAAACCAACCTAATTGCCTAATTGATGGTATAAGTCTTCAAATACAACAATCCCAATAGTTCGCGGGGGGTGGTGGTGGTGGTGGTGGGGGCAGCCATTAGACCAATTTTTATCGAATAAAATTTTCCATTAAGACAGATTTAAGATTTAATTTTTGAAAAATACCTTTTTTTCAATCAATTATAGTTTGTTGGAAGATATATCTTCAAAGAATAATAGAGCCTGGTAAAAGAGATTAATTAGCCGCTTAATTGCTCTGTTGTTTTTCATTTCTTTTATTATCATGCCTTTTTTTTCAAATAAAATTTTCAATAAATATTTTTCTTTTTGGAAAAACCTTTGAATGCTATTTGTTTGATATTGATGTAACTAACCAATATTTAATTTACTGGGTCGGGCCAAGTCCAATATTCAGTGGTTTTGGTTGCCAAGTTAGCTGGTACTACCTAACACATGCTAACAGCTAAAATGGCAAATTAATGTATTTTTAAGAAACAGGAATTGTGGTAATGTGGTTTCGTTCCTACAAATTAATAAAAAAGCAACTACTTGGATTTTTGAAACATGTTATTTAGAAAACACTATTAGGCTTCATATGCTATGCTGCAAGTCAAATTAAATATGTTTATTTCAGTTTAATAGCATGTATAATGTTTTTGATCAACTAAAATATATTAAATTAAAATTAAAAGATAAAATTTATGTGATTTTATAATTTTTGATCAAATTTTTGTTTTTATTTTTTATTTTTTAATAAATTTTATAGTTAAAAAAAAACAAGATTTTTTTTCTTATGCATTTGTTCTTAAATAAAAATCCATAATAATCTAAATATAAAATAATTAATAATATTAGTATAAAAAAATTTATTTGAATTATTAGGTCGATCTTCTAAAATATTATTTCATTCATTTTACTCAAAAGAAATTAATTTTAAAATATTAAAAAAATAATAACAAATAGTTGGAATTGTGTATGTAGATGAATAATTAATTTTTTTTAAAATCAATGACTCTAATTTTATTTTTTTCTACACACACACATGCACAAACATCATGATTATACTAAGTGGATCAGAATGTATAGCATGAATCAAAAATATTTTAAAAAATTTAAATTATAAAAAATGTATTAAAGTTAATAGAGTACATTAAAAAATTACAAAATTGATTTTGATAAAATTTGATTATATAAAAAATAAGAAAATAAATCACATAAATGCTATTTTTAAAATTTGATTATATAAAGAATAAGCAAATAAAAAAATTATAAGAAAACTTCTTCAAAAAAATTCATGCATATAAAAAATAAATCATATTTATTAACAAATAAAATTACGTAAAAAAGGAGAATAAAAAACTAATTTGATGAGATTTTTTATAAGAAACGACAAATTGCGAGAGATTAATTTTAAACAATGAGAGTAATATAATTTGATATGTATATTTATTTTAAAATTTAAAAACATATGGTATATATTTTATAATTGTTAATTTGTGTAGAAAAAAATAATGATTTTTTTATAATTTTCATATTCAATTCAATAATTAAAAAAAACACAAATTGGTGAAATAAAATAAAGGAAAAAACCAAAGAAAAATAAAAAGATGTAGGCCGATTTCTATGGGCCTAAAGCAAGTCTACAAGCTAGGAATGCCAAAAAACAACTTAAAAATCACAAAATTACTATCCTTAGCTACAATGTGTACACGGTAATATGTGAGAGGGCAACAGTGAAAATCACTACTCATTTTTTCAGTATCTTTTACCCTATGTTTGGATATTTTCTTTTGGGAGGAACGAAAAGAGAGGAAAGAAAGTGAGAGGAAAGAAAATTATTTTTCACTTGTTGTTTGGATAAGAGTAGAAATAAAATGAAAGAAAATATATTTTCCTTGTTTGGATAATTGTAAAAAGAGAAAGAAAAGAAAATGTATTATTATATATTTACTATAATACCTCTATAATTACATTTCTATATTTAAATACTTATAATTAATTTGTATAAATAAATTTGTATGAATATTTTTTTCCATTAAAATTACACAAATGATGATAAAATAAAAATCTAGCATATAGTATCGAAGATTACATTCTTTAGAGATAATACTTTTGATATATTAATGTTAAAAATATCAAAAAGTAGCTTAAAAAAATATCAAATTAATGATAACATATTTTTATAAAAGCATATGCATTGCATTACCACACGTACTTGCTCTATTTTACCCCAAATTATAGAACAAAAATACCATATTACGGAATGAAAAGCACGTAAAGAAGTAGATATTTTTTAGTAAATGGAAAAGGATCGTGCTTAAAAACTGCTGTAAACACCAACTACAAAATCTTACTGCACTCACATGCAACCGAGTAAGACACATGTGGGTAAAGGTAAAAACGTAAATGAAAAAAAAAAATTGTTAAGCATCATGATTTTCTTTCACTTTCCTTCCAATTTTGAAAGGAAAATGGATTCCACCAAAAAAATATTTGTTTAAATATATATATTTTTTTCCATTGCTTTCCTCTCCAAATCAAACTGAGAAAAACTTTTGTTTTCTTCATATTTTCTTTCCTCTCCTCTACTTTTCTTTCTATCCAAACAAAGGGTTAGCTGTTTTGTTTAATGTATGATAGGAGTCAAATCTGCGTTTCTTATTGTCAATACTTAGGCTAATAGGCTAGCTGCCCAGACTCCAGTCTAAAGGTCTTCAAAAATTTATATGATCGCTGCAAATGAATATACAAGCAATTAATGTTGTGAAACACAAAATTTTACAAAGAAAATACAATCAATTCGATACGGACATATTTATTCGTTACATCAATTGCATGCAAGATGCATCATAACTGGAAAAATAAAACTTGGCAATAATAAACTAAATGTAATCGGTTGGTTAAACCCAAAACAACACGGACAAAGACAAAGAAATTGACAAGGAAAACTACAACAAATATTAATTAACCAAGCATGCGGCATATGTGATGCTCAATCGCATTTTATTTGCAGCTGAAAGACCCCGGCATTTTGCACTGTGCCGGAAGCTGCATGGCCAAGTTGGGATCTACATTATTGTCAGCTAACACTTGAGGGTAGTTTTTCTTAAAAAAGCAAAGACACTTGAAGTCAGCTTTCGCCAGAGCCGAGCAACACGGATATGACGGTGGAACAGGGGCAACGCCTCTCTGCACTGATGGCTTACATGAATCAAAACCCTCTTTGGTAATGCCGCACAAGGTGACATGTCCTCTTGCCGCAATGGGCTTGGACGCTAGGGCGAAGGCCATGACCAATGCCACAATGGCAAGCTTCTTTGTGCATGCCTCCATAGCTCTCAAAATGTCTAGCTAGATACTAAACTCTCTTTGTTATCCCTTTTTTTGCAGACCTGTGAAGAGAGCTATTGGTACGTGAGGACTTATATAGTAATGAAGATATGAAAAATAAATGGCAATGGGGTCATTGGGCACAATTTAATAAGGCTAGGGCCTTAAAAACTAGGAGCTGGCGGATTGGCAATTCTATGGACCATTTGGATCACGGGTGCTCATTGGTATTTGGGGGTGAAAATGCTTATTGTATTTTAGTGGAAAGTTTATGTATCTAGCTAAGTTGTTCTTGTAATTTATGAAATGTTTTTGTACAAACTGCATGTGATGATGCGTACGTTGCCATTCCTGACCATTTATATGAATATATAAAATGCCCAAGACCAGCCTTCTATAATCTTGGACGCTCATATCTTTTAGATGTAGCTTTGATCTCGTTAATTATTATTCATTGCAATGTCATCCCAAAACAGACAGCAATGGTGTCAGGGAATATCACAAGCAAGCAAAGAAGGCCACAATTGATGTACTAGCTAGCTAATTAAGAATTAATTAATTAAGCAAACTCATATATAATTATATAAAAAATTTGATTTAAAGATATAGTCTTATATCATAGTAAAATTTGTAGTAATATAAACAATAGTTTGAGCCAGGCACTAATCAAGATCTTTAGAATTTCAAAATTAATAGCACAAATAAAATAACTCCTTATTGTAACAATAATCGACTTGAAGAATATTTCGAGCAAATGAAATTAAAAAAAAAAAAAAACAATTTTCAAGCAGTGCTACTCCTCAAGTTAAATGGTAAGAAATACTTAGATGTTTTTATTTCACACACATACATAAAAAAAAACAAAAAACAAAATATGTGAAGGTTATTTTTTGTGTCTGCGCTTGTTGACCAAACTCCATTATTCAGATGATCACATTTTCCTTTCAACATTCTTGTGACTAGATTTTGTATACGTGTACTAAGAGATAAGGTAAGCAAAGCAATAAGAATCAATTGTTAATATGCTTGTGGATTTTTGCTTCTGATCCCTATTTTCTTTAATTGGTGAGAGGAAAACATGGTCTAATTAAAGACTCGAAAGCCTTAATGCATGAAGGTAAAAGTAATTGGCAATACTGAACACCATGCATGTTTATAGGTCTACATGCTTCTTGGTAGTCAAGTCATCTATTAGTTTGGGTAACTTTTAATTAATTCAAACTCCCATTAATTGGATATTGGTGATGTCACCATTATTGTGCTTGCAAGAAAATGATAGTAGTTCACAACTTAGCAATCCCCTGCTCTCACTATTTAGCCCTAAGTTGAAGCAACGTCACCGCCCCACATAGCCTATAGCACTACATAACACAAGCAGGCGAATTTATTGAGACGATCCATAGCATATTTCACTCTTACGCATTTTACTCCTCTGCTCGATAAATTTGCCCTATTCCCTGTATCCTTGCCTTTCATAAATTAATAGATTGGCTCTAGGATGCTAGCCTATCTATATGTAATTGTGCATATATAGGGGTGAAATGCTGAGCTCCAATCGGTTCACAATGCTCCAATTTCGAGCTGCTTGATGTAAATTAATAATGGGTCCATGCCCAAACGTTTGCATAAAGACTAGCCAACTAGCTCATATATAGACTATAGTGCTTTTGAAATATTAGATTTAAATTGCAACTTGCCAATAAGTAAGTGGGCTGGTTAGCTTGATTGTACACTTCGGCTGTCTCTACAATCCCATTATTGCGTCCAAAGCATATTTCATTTTCACGTATACTACTTACATATCTATTATTTATGAACAACCTAATAATGGATGGTCGAGTTATGATGAAGACACGTACGTTGGTCTAAAATGTATGTGGGTTAATTTGGCGGGCAGTACTTGACGTTTATGGGGTTTTACCTTTGCAAGATGGCTAGAACATCTTCAAAGGATATAGTATAATAGAACCCAATGGGAGAGATACCATAGCAGTTTTCTTATGCTGATGACGCACGCGTGCCCTTAATTTGGGTTGTGCATGGTACGTAATTCGTTAAGTGCACTCACTATGCTTTAATGGACTCTTGAGATTGTAGATTTTCTATTTAAAAAGGTGTAATTTTTGCATTAGATGCCCAGCTAGAATTATCTTCAGGGCCTGCGCGGACTTTTAATTAGGTGATCCGTCCTTTGTATGTGTGTGTTTCCTTTGATAGAAAAGAAAAAAACATGCAAAGTGAGAAGATGCTATTTGACCTAAATAGATCCTACGTTTTTAGTGTTTATTATTAATGTATAAAACATTAAAAAGTACCATTGAATCTATCATTAAACTTGTTATTTTCACTGCTTGTTTTTTTTTAATAAAAAAATTCCAACATACATTTCATCAATATTTATTATTATATCATAGTTAAATATATTTTATATCAAACATCTAAAACATTATTCAATATTTATTCTTTCAAGCACATTTAAATTTTGAGTACTTGATACAAAACATATTTAATTATAATATAATAACAAACATTAATGAAAAATGTGTATTAATAATTTTTTAAAATAAGTCGTGAGAATAGTTAAACTCAGAGCTTATTAATTGGTATTTTAATTTGCAAAGTAAAGCGTATGAGATTTTAACTTGAGCTCCAGCTTTCATAATTTTTATCATCAATCTTAAATAATAATAATAATAATAATAATAAGGCGTGTCCAACCAAAATAAAATAAAATAGGCTAATAAAACAAACATACCCCAAGAAACTCTAGTCACTTTTGATAAGATCAAACAATCAACTAGTTACTTATGAACGGGGATTTTATGTCAAGGTTCTCCTTTACAATCGTTAGTTATATACTTATCGTATGCCGGTAATGTTGATAGACAAAAAAAGAGAAGACGAGGATTTAGTTTTTATGTGAAAAAAACAAATAGCAATTATAATGTCACGTGTTTTGTCAGGAAAAGCAGCAAGGGTGTTGCTAAGCACGTGACTTCAAGAATCTGTGGAGACGTGGCGTGGAATCATTTTCAAATTGTCATAAAGGCAGTACCCAACGATTAGCATACACGTGTTCACGGGGTGACGCGTCATTTCTAGCGCTGTCGCCAGAAGACGACTCGCTTTTTATTCGGCTTTCGTTGCGAGTCTCTGCATTAATAACACCCCCGATTTAAGCGAAATTTACGGTCTAGCCATTATCAGATGGATTTTGTTTTTCGCTTTTTATTTGGAAAAACAAAGAGATAATCATGTGAACATGAATCCAATATTAAAATTGAGTCTAATTAGGAAAATATGAATTTGTTAATTCTTTTGGGGAGAATAAGAAATATTAAACTAAAAAGTTCAACGTGATATTCATGAATTACCAACATTTTCTGCAATTAAAAAAATTAATTTTCTTTTACATGAAATATTTGTGTGTGTTTTTTTTTCCCTATATAGTTGGCTGACTTCATTTTCTAATGGACATCATTTTACGCAACCAAAAAATGAGAAATATTTAACAATTTGTTACTATCATACATTCATTTTATACAATTTGTTTTTCAAGAAAACTTTATGAGAATGGAAATAAATTTCACTGCTAAAACATTTTGTTTAGACCATGATAGACAATCCAAGAACATCAGACGGTTAATACACAATACTTTTTAAAAAAAAAAAAAGAAATTAAAGGTGAATAAAGGAACCCACAACTGCTTATCTTTCTGTGCACATTTCTAGAAATGGGCGATTTTTTTTTTTTTTTTTAATTTCTTGCTCTGCAAGTCACAGGTTAACATTCGAGGCTCAAGATTCAGTATAAATAGGTAGCAAGATAGAGCTGCCAAGCATTAATTCAACTAACTAGCTACAGCAGCTCTTTTCCCTCAACGCCGCCAGCAAAGCTCACAACCATACAAAAGTTGCTTGTGTTTTCAAGAACAAAAATCAGGTATTTTGTAGTTTCTTGCGAATCATTCTCATCCTCATTCTGCAATTACAACTATAAGATTCTGATATTTATTGCAAGATACAAAAACAATTTTAGCTATTCTTATAAAGTTAATTACCAGGAATAGAACATGGGACATTTGTCTTAGTCTCTTACCTTTCTGGGGGTGTGAAATGAACAGAATCTCGTAGGTAGACTATCTCAAGTATTGACCACAATTTGGTCCTAGTCCATAGAATTAGAGATGATAATGGATTGAGGTTGAAATCGGATTTTGCTCCATCTACATTTCATCTGAAATATCTAATCAGATTCTAATTTTAATTTGGTTGGATCGAATCGGTGAAAGATTGTTTCTATCCGATGAGTATCCATTAGAAACCCGACCCGACCTGAATTTTTTTTTAAAAAAATCAATTTAACAAAAATAAAATTTAAGTTTAAAAATAAACTATATCTTTATTCATAAATTATAAAATCGAGTTTAAACTTCAAACATATGCACAAAGCTATAAAAATCCATGCATTATATTGAAAAATAAATTATAATTCAACAAAAAAATAAAAAAAAATAAAAAGGTTAAAATACCAATTGGGGGTGGGTCGGAAAATAGATAATAGATGGATGAACTCCTTAAAGTAAATTGAATTTTATTCTTTTTTTGTGAAATTGGATAAAAATTCAATCCAACTGAATTGAGTGACACTGAATACCTAAAAGATCAGATAAAATTGACATTTCTACGTATAACAAAACTATTATAACTCTAATTTCTCAATCTAAAACAGGAATTCAACAAGCATTGCTTCTTAAACTCTCCCACAAATTAAAAACAAAAGTTCGTACCAAATAAATATTTTGTATGCTTTACTTCAATATATATTTCATAATTTTAAGTTTTTGGCCTTACTATATACAAAAACAGAAACACATTGAAAGCAACATTGTCAGGAATCATTATTGTAATTTTGGAAACAATTAAGATGCACAATCAATTTTACTGCAGAAAACTTAAGAGGTAAATTATAAATAAAGCACATGATTCTAATGCCGCAAAACTTAAAACTTAACAGTTAAGGATGGTGTCAATTCAGGGATACACACACTTTTGATCAGAATTTGATTTTTTGAAAAGGAAAGCAGAAAAACATAGCCACCGGCCACATTAGTCCGGGAGCCAACAAAATAGGCAGTTTGGTCATTTTGGGAATTCCCGCATCTCCCTTTTAACTTATCTTCTTGTCTCAACCTAACTCAATTCACATTATTGCATTAATAACTTTTGGAACCTTTCCAATTAAAAAGACCCTCAGATATGTCCTAACTTCTTAATTATACACTCTCAATCTATATTCTTCAAGTGTTGTACTATTTAATATTTCTCAGAAATAATTTTTTCTTGTAATTATATTTTTTTTTATGGGAAGTGATTAGAAACGATTTTAATTTCAATAAATTTGCTCGAAAATATTTTAATTATTTTATTATAAAAAAAAAAAGAAAGTTCGAATTTGAAATCAGTTTGAGTCACACTCATTATTTATTTTTAAATTAAAAATTGAAAAAGAAAAAAAAAGTTGATTTGTTAAAGTCCACAATGCGTCTCTCTGTTCTTTGGTAACCGTTGCTTTGCGCGTTGAAACTGTAAAGAGCTTAAAGAGAAGAGATAAAGTTAGAGAGGAAAACATTGCTTCCCGCGTTTTCCATGACCCAATTTCTTAATAATGTCATGCGTGCAAGATATGCCAAAATCTTTCAGAGCTATGAGCTATCACCTCCACCACAACATACACCACTACCTTAGCTACCCCTCTTCCTCATTTCTTGGTCCTTAACGGTTTTTATTCTCTTTAAGCTTCTTCATTCTTCAATCACCTCTACTTCTCTCTTTAAGCTAATTTGTTTATCATCTCTTTTGCTTTATGTTATTAGTTAACTTGTTTACAAAGAAAAACTCATTACCTTTTTGTCATAATTAATAATTGGCCTTCGTTGATTCTTCGATATTCTACTTTAATTTGTTGACAAAGGGTCCAGGGCTTAAACTTGTAGTTCTTTCTTATCTGGGTTTTTCTTTTTTCTTGGTCAGTTTTGGAGCCTTGAGATTCTAGCTCTCTTGGAGAAATTTGTGGTGATCTATGATACTTGTGTATCAACTTTGAATATCTATGTCTGTATAAAGCTTGAACTTTTGTTGGTTCGTTGGCAAGTCTTTGTTTCTTTATCTGTATATAACAACTTTGCTGGGGGAAGATCTTCTCTTTGCAGAGAGGAATAGTAGTTTTCATTATTGTTAGAGAACGGGAAGTTCAAGCTTTGCAAGAAGGGTCTAAATTGAATCTGGTTTGTGTTTAATTCTTGCTTTGTTTAGATTTGAACTGAGGCCATGGGAGGTCACGTGAGCAAACGGCCAGCTGAGGCATCATCTTCTGCTATCAATCTCAACAACAATTTACAATACACAACTGAATTGAGCTCCTATGAGGCTGCTTGCCGGGTCGACAAGGACTTGCAGTCTTTTGATACCACCCTCCAAGCTCGGACCAATCATGTCATCAATACTCTTGCTGTTGGTGTTGAAGTTCGTGCCCTTTCATTTGATTCATTGAAGGAAGTCACAGGATGCTTGTTGGAGATGAACCAAGAGGTTGTCAAGGTTATCTTGGAGTGCAAGAGAGATATATGGAAGAATCAAGAATTGTTTGAGCTTGTTGAGGAGTATTTTGAGAATAGCCTGCAAACTTTAGATTTCTGTGCTGCATTGGAGAAGTGCCTAAAGCGTTCCCGCGATAGCCAACTGCTGATTCTTCTCGCACTTCAACAATTCGAAGAGGAAAGTGAGACAGGAGGGAGTAGGTATGTGAAGACCTTGGAGGAACTTAAGAATTTCAAGGCAGCAGGTGATCCTTTCACCGAGGAATTCTTTCAAATCTTTCAATCTGTGTACAGGCAGCAGATAATGATGCTTGAGAAGCTACAACTTAAGAAGAACAAGCTTGACAAGAAGCTCAAATGCATTCATGCTTGGAGGAAGGTTTCAAGCATAATATTTGTAGCTACTTTTGCTACAGTATTAATTTGCTCAGTTGTAGCTGCAGCTATGGCTGCCCCTCCTGTTGCTGCTGCTCTTGCGGCGGCATCATCGATCCCGTTAGGTTCAATGGGGAAGTGGATTGATTCTCTGTGGAAGAATTATGAAAATGCATTGAAGGGACAGAAGGAGGTGATTAGCACAATGCAAGTTGGTACTTATGTTGCCATAAAAGACCTGGACACCATTCGGGTTCTCATCGATCGCCTGGAGATTGAGATTGAAGCACTAATGCAAACTACTGACTTTGCAATTGAGCATGAGGCTGTAAAGCTTGCAATAGAGGAGATCAAGAAGAAGCTGGGGGTGTTCATGAAAAATGTTGAGGATTTGGGTGTACAAGCAGATGCATGTAGCCGTGATATCAGAAGGGCAAGGACTGTGGTTCTGCAAAGGATCATAAAAAATCCCAACAACTAAAAGGATGATGATTCTTGATGCTTTCAACTGGATAGTTGTTGATATTCTGAGATATATCTGATTCTTAATTATGTCCCGTGAAAAATGATAAAATACCCATTTTTAGTTTGTACTATTGATTGTTGCGATTTGATTCATATTTTAAGAAAATAATTTAAGACTGCCATTGATGCCTAGGCAGCAACATGTTATTAGTTTCCCTTCTGACAAATATTAGTTCATGTTCGTTAATTATTTTCGTTCTGATCGTCGATTACTCTGTCCGACGGATATCTGTTTCTTGCTCCAGTAGTTAGGTATATATGATTGAGCAATCATAGTTCAGTGATCACTAAATCCAACAAAATGGTTTTTGAAGAATAATCAATTATTAGTTGCTGCTTGCTGGAGAGACCAAGTACAATGATATGTTGGTCCCCTGCCTGTAAAACAGAGACCTTGTCATTGGGCCAAGCTTAATTCAAAATATTTGACTGGTAGCTGTTGTAGAGTTCAGAATTTTTCTCATTTTGCTTTTAAGGTTTCCACAACTTCACTAAGACATCCTCGGGCTACCCATTGAATTTAGTCTCTCTTACAACCATTTTTTGGCATTTCCTCACAGCCACCCCCCCGGCAGAAAAGGATGCGCTCTAGAACCTGACCGTACCGAAGTTTTTGCATCCGATTTGTTGAACAATCATCTTAACCTACCGGAGTTAAGCTTAAGTTGTTGAGTGAAGGTTAAAAAATAATTTATATTATTTTTTAATATCTATTTAATCATTTAATTAAAAAAAGATAGAGCTATAAGATTTACCGGTTTGCTCATCAAAATTTTAATATCATATCAAAAAATTATCTCAATCCAAAAAATTAAATTGTTGAATAAACCTCCAAGTATAATATTATATTATTTTCTTAAGAGAATTTATATTTCTTTCCAGCTACTATCAGATTATATCACACGGAGTTGGTTAATTCATGAAACAAAATACTTCATGCAAGTTTGCAACACTTGGCTGCATCAAGAACGAAGGGGAGACTCGTGTAATTGACCGGAAAACTCTGGTGAAATTCACTTGTTAACCATTGGAAGTCATCACACAATAGAAGGTTCATAATATTTCATGCAAGTTTGCAACACTTGGCTGCTTCAAGAACGAAGGAGAGACTTGAGTAATTGACTGGGAAATTCTGGTGAAATTCACTTCTAACCATTGGAAGTCATCGCACAGTAGAAGGTTCATAATATTTCATGCAAGTTTGCAACAGTTGGCTGCTTCAAGAACAAAGGAGAGACTTGTGTAATTGACTGGAAAATTCTGGTGAAATTCACTTCTAACCATTGGAAGTCATCACACATTAGAAGGTTCATACAAGATTAAATAATCCTCAGGCAAGATACTTTTATACTAAGAAATGGAAGAAGGCATGCGATGTGCTTTGAATATAAGTGAAGCAATAAAATTTGTAAGCAAGGAAAATTCTTCATAGATCGACTCCCTCCAATGTACGAATAGGTCAGTTGGATTCATATATTCCACACAGCTTAAGAGGAAATACAAGTCATCAGGAGCAGGTATAGATTCTTAAATGGCAAATGAACTGGTCAGCGCAAATTTTTATTTTATTGGTTGGGTTTCTTCAATCACCACCAGCTCCTGTGGACCAAGTAACCCAACTCTCATGTCATGGTGGCTAGCGCAGTGGAAGTTTCTGAGGTGGCAAATCAAGATGCATCACCACACCAAGCTGAGAACAAACTCCACATGGAGGTGGTTTCTGCGAAACCTAACATGGATACTTGAAAGGCTGTGGCAATAAATATTTCTAGGTATAAAATGTTAGCAGAGACCTTACACCATCCTTCGGTGTGTACAATTTCGAAGCTCACATCCAAAATGTACACCCCACTTGATATAGGAAAATGATATAGGAAAATGAACGGCCCTGAACAGCTGTCTTTTCAAACCAGGGAACTTCACGAGTTACTCAATAATTTGAAGGAACATAGTGAAGCTCTATCAACCAAAAATTAGAAGATTGCATGAAATTGAATTAACCTGCAATTGATGTTCTATGATGCCTATTGAAGTGGCTTTGGACGAACATTGAAGTATGTTGCAGACGACAGATAACAACACACTAAAGATACATAAATTTTGAACCAAATCGATGAGAAAAAAGTGAAAAAGGTGAAAGTGCTAATCAACATCATTATGGCCACAAAGTTTACAAGACACTTCAATGTTGAAAGATCTCCTTCTGTTCCTTGACGAGGGAAATGGCGTTGAGAATAAAAATCAGAAAGCAATTGGTCCTTTAGTTGGAATGTATTCATCAACCACGCAGAAACCTCTTCTTCAGATGTTGGGATGTCAGCAAGCGCAATTCGCCTGACATGAACATGAACTTCCGAAGGGTTCACTCCAAAGACATTGTCCAGTAAAGATGGGCACCGAGGTTTGTAGCCAATGGTCATGTCATAAACTGCAATGAGTACGAGACAAACAAGCAAATTGTGAACAGAGAAAGAGGATCTATAGCGATCTAAGAGATTCAGAGTATAATCAAGAGGTGTAATATCACATCCCTGGCACTGAGTGGCTAGCTATTCAGCCAACCAGGGAATAACCAGGACTTGACAAAGCTCAGCCTTCAAGTTTTATACTACTGGAGCTCAATACATTTATTCTGCTATGCACAAAAAAATGTAAACAAGACAACATCATTTCAACCTTGTAGGCTGAGTAAGAACACGGAAAATATCAAAGGATGTTTTTAGAGTCAAAATGCCTTCCATTCTCCTTCTAAAGCATGCTGTCTAAATTCATCTCTGTTAATTTATCTATACATGCTTCAATCAAAGGAGTGGTTTCAAGTTTTAAGAAGCATAAAAGAGCTGTAGAGACCACATGCAATAATAGATTTTAGCAGCAAAGCTTAGAAGAAAAAAAAAAGGTAACAACCTGCATCCAATGAACCCCTCAAATCTTCCAGGCAAGCATAAAAGCCTTTTGTCTTTGGAAGCAGCACATTGTTCAGGATGGGCAAACTATGTTCGGCTGCATATTTTTGACTCCTTGAACACTTCTGCTCGCTACATCAAAGAACTCAAACATGTCAGCAATATGAAAGGAGTTGCAAAAAACCTTTTTGATAGTGCACAGTATGCTAAATAAGAGAATCTTATAAGAGGCAGGACACCTAGTCTTGAAAAATTTAATGCACTGTATCGATCACTTTGACAATACAGGGAACACTGAGTCTTGTCAAAACATTAAAAAAAGAGAGACGAGGAAATTACGAGTAGTCTGTTCCTTCTGGGAAAAGTGCAAGCCAGAGGGGATCCCTGGGATCCTTAAAACTTGAAAGCATTTGGTGCATGTTTGATTCATCAACCTCCCACTTCCTCTCAACTGAGATAAACTCCAAAATGTGGAAGCCCCAGCCGAATACAGGCAATTTCATCAGACTACTCTTAAGGACATATTTAATGCATCCCAAACATCCCTTCCGCGATGCAAGATCCCACAAGTACATCCAGTCAACCTCTGTTCTGTGGTTTGCAATAAGCAAAACTCGTTCCCTAGCAGGAACAGTTTCTCCAGAAAACATTACTTTGGTTTTGTTAATCTTTTCAAAGAGAAAAGGCCACAAAGCTAGCCAAGTGCCAAAGAAAAAGGATGTTACTTTCCTGCTGTAATGTATGCTGAAAAGTCGCAACACAACAGCACTCACAAAGCCGCAATAAACCAATGTCATAAATGCTGTTGAAAGTAGCACCAATAAACATACAACTCCCCTGATCAGCCTTAGTGGAGTCAATTCACGATGCCTTTTTCCATCGTTTGAACTAAAAGCTCCTCGAACTTCCATATGCCGATAAACCTGATAATAGCTCCGCTTCAAAAGTTGTTGCACTTTCTTAGATATTCACTCACTTAAAGAACTCCTAAGCGGAAGTTGAAGTCCAAGAAGAGCATAACTTGCCAACTCTCCAAGTGCTAAATTTGAGGATGACACACAAGGAATGTATTCTTTCCTTCACGGATGATATTAAAGCTACGTCGTACCAATCAGAGACTGAATGAAAAGAAAGGAACAAAAACAGGGAAATCCTTATAAGAAGTAAATAGTGATAAATGTTGGAGCCAATTAGCAATAAAGTTACCCATAAAAAAAGTGCAAATTAATCATGCTGAAATAAGTTTCGGAAAAGTTGTTGACTTGCAATGCCAAACATAAAACATATATAAATAAATCATGGTGAGATAGACAAGTAAAAATGCTCAGGAAACAACAGGAAGGAGATGAATTGCAGCTCACATAATATATTAGAATATCAATGTTCTTAACAGAAAAATCCCTTTAGTTATATCCAAAATCATTTTTTTCAAAACAAACCAGCTCATAATGTTCTTTCCGACAATCATCCCAGTATCCCACCACCAAAAAAAAAAAAAAAAAAAAAATCTACAAACAAAAATTGATTAAGCCTCTTCCATAACTGAGTTAAAAAGCACCATTGTTTCCAAATAACAATTAATTAAACCTCTTGAATAGTAATTGAGATCCTGTTATAGGCTTGTTTGTATAATAACTTGCTTCTGTAAAACTAATTAATAACAACATCAAATATATGATCGATTGAAAAACTTAAAGAAATGCATGTAAGGAGCAGCCATTTTCTGTATTTCCTTCTGCCTTGCAAATAAACAAGGTCCCTGGCTGCAAACAAAAAGTTTTTTTTTTCCTTGTTAAATAGATAAAGAAAGGAAAAAAAAAAAACAATCAAACTAAATATAATAATCGCATCACATTACTTGAAAACTAGCCATGAAGCTCATTCTTGAAGAAAAATAGAAGTTTTTAGGTGGAGAGGAATGGAGCGAGGGTAAAAATGTAAAAATGCCACACAAAATCCTGTTTGGTTCCTCGGAAAAATCTAGAGGAAGCAAGAGTGTAGACTCAAAAAAAAAAAAAAAAAAAAAAACCAGCTTGACATCAAAGCTTAGCTTAGCATTATAATTTACTATCCAAAATTAAAACTTAAACAGAAAAAAAAAGGAATAATGTTTATTTATTTTGGAGCTTGAGCTAGCATTGGATATTATCAAGAAACTCTACTACATTATCTTTAATAGATTTTCTCCAGAACCAAACAAATGTTGTAAAGAAAGAAAGAAAAGTAGTGAAGGTTTACCTTGTAAAGAAAATTTATAACGGTATAAAAAAACCGATGCCGGAGAGAGAGTGAGAGAGAGAGAGAGAGAGAGTTTGCGGTTTCTGTTGAAAAGTTCTGTGCTTTCGTAGTGGTTTTTCTGTGGCTTTCGTGTAATAATAATGAGTGCGTGAAATGAAGTAAGAGGTGGTGGCGGTGTGCAAATGAGGCTTTATCGGCTCTAGAAATTACGTTTTTTGCCACTACTTTTTGCTTTTTGTACTGGAAGATTCGGGCCCGTAGAAACATGATGATGCTGATGATGCTCTAACGTTCGATTACCAGCTACGTTGTTTTACTTTTTTGGGAGAAAAATACAAAAGTGTGTTCTAGATTTAAGTCACATTGAAAGTTTTTTCTTCGTGTAGGAAAAATGTAAAAAAAAAAAAAAATGTTGGTCGGGTTTTACATGGAAGATTTTTTTTTCCTTCTCTATCTTAAAGATTGCATTTTTTTTTTTTTGTTTAAACGGTTGGATTGTATAATAAGCGTAATCCTTATTCTAATTGTTTCCTTTTTTAAATGGTCACTTATTTTAAAAAGAGTTTGTAGTGGGAAAATAATTTTTTTTTCATTTTACGGAATAAATTATTAAATACATCAGAAGTGATATTTAAAAAAAATGAGAAATCATTATCAAAATCATTTATGGATCCTATTTTTATATGAGAAAGAAAAAAAATACAATTTTCGTTTGAGGTTAAAAATTGGTATGGCAACACAAAGAGTAAATCCATTTATTATTTACACCAAACTTTGGAATATGTTTTTTTTTTTAAATGGATATAAACATTATAAAGAATATTTTGAACGTAAACATAATTTAATAGTCATCAAGCATGGGCTCAGAATCGTGAAACAGTATACTTTTCTCAAAAACTAAAAAAAATTCAGTGAGAGAAAATTTAAATTAGAGGGATTGACACAAATAACTTCTTTTTGTTTTTTTTTTCCTCCCCCGAGAATCCTCAGGTTGCATATTTGTTGGTAAACATTTCATATCATCTTTTCTTTAATAAATAAAAAATAAAAGCAATGTGGAATTCAGTAATCGAGGCTCCAAGTTCCAAGCAGTTTGTAAGTGAGTGGCCCGATACTCTTGGTTTAAGGTTGTCTTGGCAGCTTGAAAGAAAACAGCCCAATACCGAGGGCTAAGAGAAAATGGTCCAACCCAACCCTCCTTTTGCATCTAATTTGGTTCTTGATAATTTTCAGAGTCGCCATTTCGCTCAGAAGACGAGAAGAAGTGGATATTTCACTTCGAAATAAATGAGAAGTTGGATGAAATGTTATGCGGCATTGTGGTGGGATTATTAAACTTGAATGAAGATGCATATATTTTTGGTCTTTCAAACTTTATATGTTTTAGGGTCTAATCGTATTAATAATTCTACTGATCAATTTGTTTGTATCATCTGTTTAAGCTATAAATCTATCTTTATTTATAATTACACCAAGAAAATTATATTCAAAATTTTCTTGGTAAGTGTTAATGCAATTGGCCACGTTTGCTAATTTTGGTAGTTGGGCGTGTTATTCTACATGCGCAAAATCAACCTTATAATTTTATAATTTTTCAATGTCATCCAAGTATTTATATTGACAAAATATTTTGCACAGCATAAGTGATTAAAAATTATCAAGAAGAATTAAAATTATTGACAGCACCAGACCTATGTCAATATAATGTGAATAATTATCGATAGAAAATAAATTATGAAAAAATTAAAATTTAATTCTCAGTGAAAATTAAAAATTACAAATTACGAAAGTATAAAATAAAAAAAACAAAGATAATAATATTATATAATAAGCTTTAAAATTGTAATTACATGATGAAATAATCGATGGTCTATCAAATATTGACCCAACATCTAATTAAATGTTTTAGACTTTTTCAAGAAATTGACCAAAAGGTTATAGATGGCTTATTTAGGAAGAGATTTAGTGTTCTTGCATTAAATGTCGCTAGATGGTTCGTTGCTACAAAAAGCAAAAGTTAAACGAAGTTTAGTAATTAAAGTATAAAGATATTAAAACTCCAAGGACTTAAAAATCACAAACCGAAATTCACTTTCTCCTGACTTCTAAACGAAGTCAAGAAGCTTATGATCCCTTCATTGCCAAACACAGCGAATTGCTTCTCAGTTCTCTCTCTACTTCTAAACCATAAAACCCCCATTCTCCCCTCTCACTCCCAAAATTCTCAAATCATGGACATGGAAATCGACTTCAAAAGTTATCAATTAAGCCACGAACTTCGCGGCCACGAAGACGACGTAACAACCCCCTCTCCATTGCCCTCTCTAATTTTCATCTTTAATTAAAATTAAGCCGTTTGATTTTATTCAATAATTTATCAGGTTCGCGGGATTTGTGTTTGTGGAAATGCGGGAATAGCGACGTCGTCGAGGGACAAAACGGTGAGGTACTGGATACCGGACCCAACTGACAAGCGCAAGTATGAAGCATCGAAAATTCTGTTAGGGCATTCGAGTTTTGTAGGACCACTGGCATGGATTCCGCCCAATGAGGATTTTATAGAAGGCGCGATCGTTTCCGGTGGAATGGATACAATGATTTTTGTTTGGAATTTGAGTAATGGAGAGAAAGTTCAGAGCTTGAAGGGCCATCAATTGCAAGTCACTGGTGTTGTTTTAGATGGCGAAGATATTGTTTCTTGCTCCGTTGATTCGTAGGTTTATTATTTTGTGTCGTCGCCACGATGAATGTTCTAAATTTGGCCTTTTTTGTGAACTTTATTGGATTTGTTTGTTGCAGTACTATGAGGAGATGGAGGAAGGGTCAACTTATTGAGAATTGGGAGGCTCATAAGTCTGCGATTCAAGCAATTATTAAGCTGCCATCGGGCGAGCTTGTTACAGGTATATTCTCTTCTTAATTTTGTGAACTCTTAGTTTCACTCCGTTGGCATTAAGTAAAAAACACAAGTGCCGTATTTGACAAATTGAATGGAAGTTTAATTTCATGTTCTACTGACGTGCTGGTTTAGAAGATGCATATGCTCGGGTTCACTTACCTGCCTGTTCATGATCAAAATTTTAGTTTTCTGCTCTGTGCTGACCCGTTCCTGTGTGTTGGAAGTGTTTTTTTTCTTAATCTTTACATTACCTATTGGAGAACCTAATTGTAGTCTATTTCAAGTTCAAATATATAGATTTAATGGTTCTTTGAGTAAACCAGTAAACCAACAGTTTTGACAATGCAGGTTCAAGTGACACAACTTTAAAACTTTGGAAAGGAAGAACGTGCTTACAGACTTTTGCAGGGCATTCAGGTTGGTTTTCCCCCTTTTTTCTTTCCTACATGTCTTGGTGCTCATCTGTGGTACAGTTTTGTTTTCCTTTAAATAATGAACTGGTCTCGGAGAAATCTGCAGCCCCACTTGTTCAATATTTGTTCTGTAACAAGAAATAGGATGGCTTATTCAGTGATATACTCATTTAGGTCAATCTTTTGCTTTTGCTGGTAAACTTTGTAGATACGGTCCGAGGCTTAGCAGAGATGCACGGATTGGGCATCCTTTCTGCATCACATGATGGGTGAGTTGTCATTTTCTGGTTTATATTGCAGATGGTTCTGTTTTGTGTTTGCCTAAGTAGATGATGCATAATGCCAAAGTTATTGCAGTTTATAAATATTAATTCCCTGAACTTCATTCATTTTTAAAGAAATATCCTTGTTATCTTGCATAAATGGGTATTAACTCTTATGGGTTTTTTTTTTTTTTTTTTTGGGCAACAGCTCTATCAGATTATGGGCTTTAACTGGCCAAGTATTGATGGAGATGGCTGGTCATGGTTCGATTGTCTATTCTGTTGATTCACACGTGTCCGGACTCATTGTTAGTGGTAGTGAAGATTGTTCAGCAAAGATATGGAAAGGTGATTGCTTCTATCCTTTGGTCTTCTGCTTAGATGTAACCTCAAAGGCTTGAGATTTGTGCGTTGGAACAGAATTGATCATTTCTTTGAAATTTTATTTCTTGTGAAATCGTTGTCGTGTTGCAGATGGAGCTTGTGTTCAGAGCATAGAGCATCCTGGTTGTGTTTGGGATGTCAAATTCTTGGAAAATGGCGATATTGTGACAGCATGCTCAGATGGAGTAGTACGTATTTGGACATCGCATCAGGAGAGGATTGCAGACCCAGCAGATCTTGACTTTTATGTTTCTCAACTTTCTCAATACAAGTTAAGCAGGTATAATCCTGCATTACTTGCCAGCATGTGATACATACCCATGTATCTTTTATGGCTTTGATCGATGTTAAATGAGCTTTTGTTGTTGTTTGTGTGATATGTTAGTTATTTATGGGTAATTGTGAACTACAATAATATATCGACTCACATATACCCTTGGTTTGAATTTGTTAACTGTGAAGCATAAAAAAACTAGTAAAAAACGTATTTACTTCTAGAAAATCTCAGACTATTTTATGATAAATGGCAATTCCAAACTCATTAATTCTTGAAATATCTGTATTTCTGGATTTCTTTTCTGAGTTTTATGACTGATGGAAGTTGATTCTCCTGCTGGATTGTTATAATGTTTTTTTCTTTATAATGCTTGTCATCGCTGGCTCATGTTGTGAATTATTTCTGTCAGGAAGAGGGTTGGGGGATTGAAATTGGAAGATTTACCAGGCCTTGAGGCTTTACAGATTCCAGGTGCGGTTTCAAGTGTACCCTCTAGAAACATTTATCTTAATTATATTGGAAATTCAATTTTTAGATGAAGTGATTGCTGGTTGTCTTGAAAATCAATTGTAAGCAGTAGAAATTTTGCTGGACTTAAAATTATGGAGCAATGGCCTTTACTTGTATCAATCAATATATAAGTCAGTACCATTGTCTTGGTAATTGTATCAGTGACGAGAAATGACATTCTTGTGGATCTTGACTGTGTTTTTACGTAGGTTTATTAAATTCAGTGTTTCTTGTATCATTGATGGGTGGAAATGTTGCCTGAGATCTGTTGTAAATTGCTAACCTAGTATGTATTGCAATTATCTTCTGATCAGGAACCAATGATGGCCAGACCAAAGTCGTCAGAGAAGGGGACAATGGTGTAGCATATGCTTGGAATTTGAGTGAACAGAAGTGGGACAAAGTAACATTTAGTTTCATTTTACCGTATTTTCCAGCAAATTTCTTCATATTCATTTTATCCTTAAAGCCTTATTTATGAGTCTATGTAGTTCATTGCAAGGTGACAGAAAACATAGTCCGTAACAGGCTACCCAAAGTAGTTGCTAAATTGATACGTGGAATAGTATTTACTGCCTGTTCTATGTCTGATACTATCCATCATCTCTTTGGCTTATAGAAGGTGAAAGATGGGTTTTAAATAGTTTAACTTGAACCTTAAGGAAAAAGAAAGTTTGAGTTGACACCGCATGTTGTCAATTTAAAATTCGTACTTATTCATGCTATTATGAATTTTCTTTTCTTGTTTTTTCTCCGTACTATATAATAAAAAAGTAAAATCCTTTTACTTATAAATATCTTTTGTTTCATGTTATGTGCTCGGCCTCCTTGCTTACCTAATTTGTTTTCACATGATATTTTCACGTATTCTTATTGTCAGGACATTGATTCATATGGTGGTCATTGACTGAAAAATTGAGCAATCTCTTTCATTGTGCGATGAAGAACTGAATGACATTAGTGGTTTTAGGTGTTGTCTCATTTCGAAGATGAAAACAAACACTAGGAAATGAAGTTTCTATAAGCAATTGAGCTGCTCACTACTGTGGGCTTAAGCAACCACATATGGTCCTAATCATGTGTCATCTCCAAAGAGAATTAGAACTAATTGGTGGCTTTAGTTTCTCCAACTATGTATGTACTGTAAGGGAAGTTTGATGCTATTGCAATGAAAATGAATGACAAGTTAGGGGGTGCCTTGGTTGACAGATTGTGCTTATGTTCTCTTGTTACTTCTGGAAATTTATTTATTTATTTTCTTTTTTTTTTTGGATTGCTCATGTTTTGTTATTTCTCTTCCACTTTCAGATTGGAGAAGTTGTTGATGGACCAGATGATGGCATAAAGCAACCTGTTCTTGATGGAATTGAATATGATTATGGTCAGCGTCTAGTTATTGGCTACTGTGAACCTCATATTGCCTAGGCTTTGTTGTGTTTTGTTACTCCTTTGAACTCACTTACCCTACTGTTTATTTTGATGGTTTTATAATGTTGTTATCAGTATTTGATGTTGATATTGGCGATGGTGAGCCTATTCGTAAGTTGCCATACAATCGATCAGGTAAATTTCTTCTCCGACCTGTCTACCTTTTGAATGGTTATGATGGTGTGGATGGTCTTGTTTTTTCTGCAAGTTTTTGTATACCTTGGTTCTGGTTGTTGGAGGGAATGACTGGAAAAAAAGCTTAATTTAGGAAGCAACTCAAAATGCTCTTGACAGTTTTTTCCCCTTTCATTTGTCCAACAGTATATGGAGTTTGATTTTTCCCTTTCCTTCTGTCCCAAAAATAATAAATCAACTGTTTGAATTCGATGTTTTTTGAATTAGAACTCTAAGTGCATTTCCTTGTCCCTTTCCAAAGAATAATTGTAGAATGTGTGACTTCATTAGTTGCTTACATAAAATGTATTAGGCAAGCAAGTATTTAAAATGACTCAGATATTTCCAGATAATCCATATGTGACTGCTGACAAGTGGCTTCTAAAGGAGAATCTTCCTCTTGCCTATCGCCAACAGATTGTAGAGTTTATACTCCAAAATTCTGGACAGGGGGAGCTGCACTTGATTCATCATTCCGTGACCCTTACACTGGCGGTAAGTATAATTTCATTTTGTTATAATATATGGAGCTATCTGCAACTGCTAAGATGTGTAGCCTTAGTGTATTTTATTGTGATTTATATTTCTTTTTCCAATATTTCAGCAAATGCTTATGTACCCGGAGGATCATCTAGTGCGTCTGGTATGATTCCCTTGACCAGAAAAAAGAGCTCAATATTTATCTTAGCTTCTTCCTTGGGATTTAGTCAATTTCATAAAGCTTGGCACGAATCTAATATATTCGTCTTCTTGTTTATACAACAGCTGTTTCAGCAAAACCGACTTTCAAACATATTCCCAAGGTATGCTTTTAAAGCTCTTGCTTGGAAGGTTTATGATGTATCTACACTGCAAGTTTAGGAATCGTACGCATTACATGGGTACAAGTCCTGGGTTTTTTTATAGCATGGTGCATTTATTTATTTTATCTAATCTACCCCTATCTTGATCTACACCTCCTTTTCATCCAAGTAAAATTTTGGCACTATGCTAGAGTTAGTAGTTTTTATCCTGATGGCATTGTTTCTTGACTGACCCACCCAAATAATGTGTAGCTCCATATAGTTGGGTTAAGAAGTTTTTGGTAGTTTGTTTCTTGATGATAGATGAGCTATATTTTATTTTCATGGTTAATTTTGTGCCTTTTGAAAGTTAGTTTTTGGGTACTTTTAGACATGAATAGGCGGAAGTAGGCGGGCCAGATACGAACTTGACAGGAGAATAGCTAAATTGATCTTCCAACTAAATGTGAAGATGCTATATTAAACTGTTTTTAGCACATTATCTGATAAATCACTCTTTATATGTTTTTGTATTGATTGTCTTGAATTTTTTTTTTATGCTAAGATTGATTAACTCAAATTCTGCTACTGGTCTTTTTAATCTTTAATTTTTTATCATTTCATTTCCAGAAAGGAATGCTTGTTTTTGATGTGGCTCAATTTGATGGAATCCTGAAAAAGATTACAGAGTTCAACAATTCTCTACTGTCTGATTCTGTAGGTTGTTTTGTGATTATTAGTTTTTTTGTTTCATCATTGTGATTTTAATTTTCTTATATTTATTTCTTGATTATATATTGTCAATTTTTCGAAGGTCAAAAAGGACCTGTCTTTGTCGGAGCTTGAGATGTCAAGATTGGCTGCTGTCCTTAAAATTTTAAAGGACACATCACATTATCATACCAGTAGATTTGCAGATGCTGACATTGCTTTGCTGCTGAAATTGCTAAAATCTTGGCCAACGGCAATGATGTTTCCAGGTCAGCATTTTACAGCGTACATGCTCTTGATTGTGAACCTTGCTGCGTGTTCATCCTTAATGTTATTTTGTGCTTTTGTGGCATGTGATGCCATTTGGATAATGCTTTTGCAGAGTTATTGAGAACCTTCCAAACATTTTTAACTTTGAGCACTATTTGAGATATTTATTTTATCGTCTTGAAGTTCAATGAAGAATGAACTAAGCTGATATCACTGACACTTTGGGTTTGTTCAAAGATTACCTAATTCAGTTATAGTTTTCTGGTTAATGGAGTGCATTTCATTGGAAAGCCCAAAGCTAGCTATGAGAAATATTAGCCTACGAGAAGTCCCGATTTTAAGTACTATCAGAATTTTAAATTGATGATCCCAAACTTATTGGTTTTTTCAGGCTTTTCACATTGATGATATCAAACGGGTTGCTTTCTTGCCCTTTGGACCTTTTCTTGAACCCCCTGATATTTCAGCGGCCAATATTTCCCTGTGCCTAGAAATAGCCACGTTGTAGTGAACTGGCCTTATTTTTTACTTGATTGCTTGTGTTGCACATAGCCAATGCCTTTCTACAATATAACAAGACCCTCTTCCATCTTGTTGAACTATGGATTGCAATTCAAATTACTCAAAGCTGCTTTTACCTGTTTAGAAAATCTGCAGTTAATACATGCATCCCACTCGTGTAAAATACTATACTTGACATTGGTTCTCACTTAATGCAAATTTACCACTGCGTCTCTTTTTCCCCCTCCATATACCTGAGTGCACAATCTTTGCTCACGTGGGTGCATTGTTTTGTTTCAGTTATTGATATTGTGAGGATGCTTGTTCTACACCCAGATGGGGCGACTGTACTTTTCAAGCATGTGGAAGATGAAAATGGTATCTTGAGATGCAACTGTGTTTAGTTCTAGTTAAGAAACTTGATTACATCAAAAAATATTTTCTTTTATCTCTATGTTTCATTCAAATTATCTTCTTCTTTTTTCTCACTAAACCTATAATGGAGTGGTTGAGGAGTCCAGATGACTGGTGATTCAGGTGTAGGTTGTTCTGACCAGAAATGTCACTGGAATCATGCTAGTTTTTAACTGCAGCATAAGTTTTTACTTATGATTGTAATAGAATTTTGTGTGTAAGTTTGATGTGAGACATTATTTGGTATCAGATATCCTGATGGAAATGATCAAGAGAGTTGCAACAAATCCTCCACTTCCTCCAAACCTTTTAACAGGAATTCGTGCTGTGACTAATCTATTCAAGAATTCACGCTACCATAACTGGCTTCAAAAGCATCGCAGTGAGGTAACTTTCATTATGTTTTCACAGATCAAAGTTACATATAGTAACTTAATATGAATAACCAATGACTAGTGGCCCCGACCTGTTACCCAGGGGATTAGTCAGGCCTTTAGGCCTGGATAATCCTTGTCATTAAAGACGCTAAACTGTTATTTCTTCAGAGGTCCTTCACCTTAATGTTGCATCTGGCACTTTAGTGGGCTACTAGGTTCATTAGGAGTTAGAAACGTATATGCTTCTGTGGCCTTTGTTCTATTTTGACTTTGATCATTGGCTGTATGGGTGTGAGCATGCTCATAACCTTGTCACAGCTTTGTCATACTGAGCAAACTTCGCATTCACATGAATGTTTTTCAATTGCATGTATTTCAATAATGCTTTTTAACTGATCTTGCAGATTCTTGATGCTTTTTCAAGCTGTTATTCATCTCCTAATAAGAACTTGCAGTTGTCTTATGCTACTATGATACTCAAGTGAGCATTTTCTCAGCTCTATACATTCACACAATTTTTCCCCACTTGCAGTTTTGTTAACCTACGACATCAGTCCGTAGATTTATGATATTTTCCTTTATTCTTTTCCTAGTATTGACGCACGTTGCTTTGCCCTTCCTCTGTCTATGCTACGACTTGTTTTCACAGTTATGCTGTGCTGTTGATTGAAAAGAAAGATCATGAAGGTCAATCTCAAGTTCTTTCAGCAGCTCTTGAGGTATGTTTTATTCATTTATTTCCAACCTTTTTGGAAACAGTCATGCTTTGCATGTTCTATCCTGATTTTATTCCATTTTATGATGAATTACTATATTTCATTCCGTTTTGGATTTCCAGAGAAGGGAATCATAGATGTAGAGTTACCTATTGACAAAGTGGCTCTGTTTTTTTTTTTTTTTCCTCCCTGCAGATTGCAGAAGTGGAAAATATTGAAGTTGATTCAAAATTCCGGGCTTTAGTTGCTATTGGATCACTGGTATATATTACCCTCTCTACATATCCCCAACAAATTACTTCTCTAACATGCGATTTTGGTTTTTTAGTTTTTCGTAATGGAGTGGACAAGTTTTTTTTCTGTATCAAATATATAGGAAATTGATTGAGAAAGGATTTTTCAAATAAAAATCTCTTTCTTTTTTCTTGTATATCATGATGAAATACTATTTTTCTTGTTTGCCATGGGAACATTTTTTGATCTCAATGTGTCTACTAAATGAATTTCGAAGAGCTTATGGTCTTCTAGTGTTAATGTTTATTGCTTGTCTGCTGTGTTTTACCTTGTCCCAGGAGGGAATTAATATGAATCACAAACTTCTTTGAATTTCGAGGAAAAGAACATGTTAAGAGAAGGGACTGAAATCTGTAAAGATGTTAAAGAGCACGGTTACTTAAGACTAGTTATTAATGAAATTTTAAGAGGGAGAGCTGTACAGTTGTTTTCTTGAAAAATATATATCAAGGCGAACTTTGTTGCTTTATCTATCAGACTATCAGAGTACTTGTTGCCTGCCTATTATTTTATTTAGTAACATTTTGTTGTCTTCCTTACACAGATGCTTGATGGTCTGGTGAAAAGAATTGCTTTGGACTTTGATGTTGAAAATGTGGCAAAAGCAGCCAAGGCTTCTAAAGAAGCCAAGATGGCTGAAGTTGGAGCTGACATTGAACTACTAACAAAACAGAACTGAATGTTGGTCTGTGGTAAGTGCTTTTTTCAAACCTTTGTTAAAATAGATGTTTTGTTCAAGAAGATGGAGACAGTCTTGGGTGCCCTCTAAAATGCATGTATAAACTTATAAGCCAGTTTTTAACTTTCTGCATAGCATAACTAGCATTGATGGATTAGTTTGCCATGCATCTACCAAAGAAAATGCAGCAGGGTGCAGAGAACTAGCATAGTAGATTAGTTGCACAAGATGGTACATATTTGATAGAAATCTCAATTATGCAATTTACCCAGGGCTGACTTTTTTCCCCCTTTGCAGGATGTGGAAAAGCAAAAAGCTAGAAGCTCAAAAACGGGATCAACGGCTAGGAAATTGATTTGACCTTTCTGTTGGATGAAGCCTGGCTCATGCGAGGTGAAGATGAGAACATTGAACAAGTGAATCGATCCATTATTTGAAGAAAACGTTGTCCTCGTGCATGCATGCATGCATGCAAGGCCTTAGGGGATTTTGTGCAAAATTTAATTTACAGAAGGAAAAAAGTTACATGGTGCACCCACACTGTATCTATCTACTTAAATTGGAAGGCCAGTGCAGATTAATTCTGATTCATATTGTCTTTCACTGATTTTTTGCCCCTTCATTTTTAGTTTTGAATTTCTACATTACGTTAGGAAAAAAAAAAGGACCCTTAATCAAATCGTTTTCTATTTCATGGCTAGTCACAGTGTACTAGTTTTTTCGAAGATTTATCTACATGTGGAAGCCAAAACTTGAAAATCTGATTTCTATGGGATTCATAAATGAAGGCCAATCTTTAGCGATAGAAGGCAGTAGATTGGCCTAAAACGCAACCAAGAACAAGTTCTGAGATTGCATACTAAATCATCACCTCCATTTTGCGTAGAATCTTCCATCACTCCACAGCAACATTCTGTTCAACTTGATCTTGACATTCCTTTTCTTCAAATGCATATGCCTTGGCACTATCTTCTTCTCCAAGCTGAAAGCTAGATATTGAGGAAACTCCTTCAACTCGTCCAAATTCCTCTTCATCTCACCCACCAAGTACTCAATTTTGGGTCTCAAATTGTTTTCAATGCTATATCCAAATATTGCAGGCAATCTCCCACAAATATTTGCAGCTTCCTCGTGAGAGAAACCTATGGTTCTCAAAAACTCGAATCTCACTTGCATGTGCTCCACGCGGATGTTCAAAAGACGTGCATTCAAACTACTAGGAACATTTAACTTCTTCACCCCTAATTGTCTAAGGCAATTAAGGGTGGGCCTAAGGCAATATTCCACATCAGACAAGAGAAGTTGAGGACGCCTAATGACCAAACCCCTGGATTCATGAACCGAAGCATGTAAATCATCCGTCAAGAATTGGAACACGGGCTCGATGTCAGTGATGTCAAAGTTTACAGATAAGAGTTCTGGGCATAGAAAAGTGAGCCTAGCAAAGTCAGTCTCCAAGAAGCCCTTGGACTCAAAATATTTTAGGGTGGCAAGGATATGAGATATGGCATCAGGGGTAGGGAGTTGGCGAAATTTGGTGTTGGGATCAATAACACCAATGGATTTTAGGTATCTGAGGTTTTCGTGGTGAGTTGTGCGGAATTTGATATAATGTGAAGGGTGAGGAGAGGATGATAGATGACGGGGTTTAAAGGTTTTCGCCGGAGGATAGGAGGAGGATGGCAGGGAGAGAGAGAGAAGCATGGTTCTTCGGGTTTTGGAGTGGGTTAACTAACTGAAACCAAAACTGAGTGAGAGTTTTGTATGGTTGTTATTTGGATTGTGAGAAGATAAGAAGGCCACTTTTTTTCCCCACTTTTCTAAGAGGAACATTGGGAGAGAAATTTTATAATATTAAAAAAATAACTATATTATAATAGTTATTTTATGAATTTATTTTTAACAATAAAAATATATATATATATAAAAAAATTATATTTGAATTCATAAAAAATGAAAAATCACCCGGCAATAGAGAGATGGCTCGAGGGAAAATATTGGACCAATTTATGGATAAATATAGATATTTGTGAAAGAAACAAAACGATGGAACCAGACAGAGTTATTAGGGTTAGGGTCCATGACATGCAGCTATGCATAGCTTTCTTCTCTCGATAAATTTTATAAAGTACAAAAACTTTGAATAATGACAGATGCAAGAATACAGTTACAAAAAGAAGCATTTTAAGGGTTTTCAGTTATGTAGCTGTAATTATATATACATCCGCAGTTATCAATGAGAAAATATGCAAATTTCATGATTCTCTTCTTGACTAGCCCGATTGATCATATCTTCATTATCATTAATGAAAACTATGTACCTGAAGCAGTGAAAAGTCCTACAAGAACAAGAGCCGATCAAAAGCGTATTAGATCCCTAGCAGATTGTATAAATCTGATTGTTTAAGCTCATAAATATTTCTTCATTTTGACCTTATAAAGCTCAATTTTCTACTAAGGAGAGACGAATTAGAAGGGTGGTAACTGCTAAAGCTGGATGTCACATGAACTACTGTTGCAAATGAATTTTACTTCGTGTTTAACGCCATTTTCTTACCAAAACCGACATGTCGTTATAAATGTACTGGTGTGTCACAGCTGCTAACTGACAACTCGGTCGCAAAATATCTAACCAAAAACCTGTCGTTTATAACTGACGGATCGCTGGCACAGTAAAAGGGTATGGGTTGCCGTACAAACATCTCCTCACCAATAGTTTATTTTGATTGACGTTTTCGATTTTATTTTTATTTTGTTTAAGAATTTATATTTATATTTTATCCATTAGAATGGTTGATTTTTTTTTAATCTATTTAATTGTATTTTGTTATTTAATATTATTAAACACTAGCTTAATTTTTATCAACTAATAAGTGATCGTTTTGCATCAATACATGATAAAAAATATATCTCACTCAATATTAGAAAAAAACCTATAATTTAAATGTTTAATCTTTAATTTTTATTATGTTTATTAACCTTTTTTATTATTATTTAAGGTGTCTGTGCCAATTAACCTTCTTCACCTTATAGTATCTAAGGTAGAATATAAGGTAAGATGACAAGAAAATTACGAATGCACTAATTTGAGATTATCTTTTTAAGATTGAATTGAAAATGGATTTAAGATTTTAGCGAGAAAGCAAGTGCTGTTTCATTAAAAACAAAATTGTAGGAGTTTCTAATATATTTTTATATTTTTAATTTAATCAATTTTATCTTTAAAAAAAATTGAATTTTCAATATTTTTTTAATTTTAATTTTCATCAATAAATTGATGGTCTAGTAGTAAATAAATTAATTTAGAAATAATTTTTCTGTCAATGTATAGAGTTTAAATTTTTAAATTTTGAAAAAACTTAAAATTTATTGTTCTTGTTTTGAATAAAATTAAAATTAGCTATATTTATGATGTAAAATGAGAATATTTGAAGAAAAAAAATTGTAGGGCATTGGCAAGTCCACATTGGAAAATACCATATGAAAGTTCATAAAAGGTACGCCGATAACAAATATCTCCTTACAGGATAAACTAGCTTCTATGCTCGTTACACCTCTGTCTCTTAACTGCTATTTCTCTTCATCATCAACTGAAACCCAACTAAAAAAAATAAAGCTCCAATTTTTCCATTAATGGAAATTCTGAACCCCACAAAACCCCTAAACCCATCTCTGTTCAACACCCATTTTCTCAAACCCCTTCCTCTTCTTAACTCAAAAACTATCAAACTCAAACCCCAAGTTCACACTCTTAACAACAGCAAGAGAAGTAAACTTTCTTTAACCATTATAACTTGTAGCAAGCTAAATACATCTAAAGAAATCAAGAACAAGGACAAGAATGTGTCCAAGAAGATTCTTCTATCAAATTCAGCTCCACCTGTTGCGTCAGAGGAGAGTGACGGTGGTGGTGGTAGTGATGGAGAGAAGGTTCCAGTGAAGGCAGGAAGTGGGGCATTGGGGTTCTTGAAGAGGTTGCCTAGAAGGGTTTTGACTGTTTTGTCTAATTTGCCATTGGCTATCGGAGAGATGTTTACCATTGGTGTGCTGATGGCTCTAGGTATGTTAGACCTCTTTTGGAGTTTAGTCCTGCTGTCTTTAGAAGGTTAATTGAAGTCTTAGTGTCAGAAAATAAATTTAAGTACTAAAATTAGAGGTTGTATAACTCCTTCAACGTCATTGGTTGTCTTGAATTTTTTTTCACAAATTGGCATAGCACATTGATGCAGTGCTTCATTGGAAATTTAGCCTCATCACGTGTATGCAATGGTAATGCAGGTACTATTATTGATCAAGGTGAGGCTCCCGAATACTATTTCCAAAAATTCCCAGAAGAGAATCCTGTGTTAGGATTCTTCACTTGGAAATGGGTTCTCACCCTCGGGTTCGATCACATGTATTCATCCCCTGTTTTCCTGGGAATGTTGGCTCTCTTAGGAACATCTCTTATGGCCTGCACTTACACCACACAGATACCCTTGGCTAAGGTTGCGAGAAGGTTTGATTTTTTGCTTTGGCATCATGTTCCATTAAACTAGGACAGAGGGATCTTCCTGTTAACACAGCTGTGGTGTTATACGCAGGTGGAATTATTTACATTCTGCTGACTCTATTCGTAAGCAGGAATTTTCAGACAACTTGCCCAGGGCATCAGTTCAAGATTTGGGTGTTATTCTGATGGGAGCTGGCTATGAGGTCATGGAGTCGTTTCAGTTGTGTTTTGTTTGTTTCTATTTTATTTTGTTGAACTATGATATTGCTTATAAGTTTGAACCATATGCCTGCATGATTGAGAGTCACGAGACTGGATGTTCTTCTCGGTATAGTCCCATTTTTTCAAAACACCGACTTTTTCCTTATCCTTTTTTCTTTTGTTCCGGCTAGAATTAACTTATTGAACATAATGCCAACCATTACCTCCCTTGGGCTGTTCATTTCGTGTTGATTTTTATTTATCTGGTGCAAGAAACGCACATAGGAGATTGTTACAAAATCATAAACAGTTACTCAAATAAGCTCACTTCAAAAGCTACCAAGCATAAATCCACTCATCTGAATTGCTGCTTGCAACAAATTGGACGGTTAATTTGCCTGCATATACTCTATCCTGAGTTGCTAAAAATAGTAAACTTCATATTACATTATTAATATTTCCTCAAACTTTAGTACGTGATATATGTTTTTGTGCTCACTGCCCAGTTTAATTCATGCAGGTATTCTTGAAAGGGCCCTCTCTATATGCATTTAAGGGGCTGGCTGGTCGGTTTTCCCCTATCGGAGTGCATCTAGCTATGCTGCTGATAATGGCAGGAGCTACTCTTACTGCCACTGGGAGCTTCAGAGGCTCAGTCACAGTTCCACAAGGACTGAATTTTGTTGTAGGAGATGTATTGGGCCCAAGTGGGTTTCTCTCAACTCCCACTGAAGCTTTCAATACTGAGGTTCATGTCAACAGATTCTACATGGATTACTATGATGGTGGTGATGTAGGTGTTAATTTTCCTTCATATCGATGCCTATATATTCCTTTTCAGCTGTGCTTCCTTGAATTTATATGTGTTATATCTTCTCCTCTATATTGTTTCTCCTTGTAGATCAAACAATTTCACACTGACCTGTCACTATTTGACCTTAATGGGAAGGAGGTTATGAGGAAAACAATTAGCGTGAATGATCCTTTACGTTATGGTGGGATCACTATGTACCAGACAGACTGGAGCATTTCTGCATTGCAGGTACGTAAGGATGATGAGGGACCTTTCAATTTGGCTATGGCACCATTAAAGGTCAGTGGAGACAACAAACTCTATGGAACCTTCTTACCAGTAGGGGATGTTAACTCTCCTGATGTCAAGGGAATGTATGTATTTCTTTTACTGATTTTCTTCTTCTTTGATTTTTCTTTTTTCTTTTACCTCTTACATGAGAATTAAGAGAATAAATACTTTTTATTCTTCACTTGTATCTATAACTAATATTCATCTTCTTAGTAATGGTAGCACCTTGCTGTGATTATGATGGTGTTCTGGTTTTTCCATAGCTGTGAGAATTTTCATATGGTTCCTTAAATTTGGATTAAGTCTTGTGGTTATCAAGATAAATGGATCAAATTCTGGAGCTTGTTTGCATGCTGCTGTTATTGGTTGACAGCTCCCCAAAGCTATTTTGTTTGCTGAAATTAGTTTTGTGTTTTTTGTTTGTTCCTTGCCATTCATCTTGTTTTCCCCTTTCGATTTTGATTTTCAGATCAATGCTTGCTCGTGATCTACAATCCATTGTCCTTTATGATCAAGAAGGGAAATTTGTTGGAGTGCGAAGGCCTAACTCTAAGCTTCCGATTGACATAGATGGCATGAAAATTGTTATTGAAGATGCAATTGGAAGCAGTGGTCTTGAATTAAAGGTCTAGACTTTAAAGTTTTGCTACCTCATGGCTTTCTTTCAATTTGCATAATAGTTTCATGGAACTAAATCTTTTCTTTATACAGACTGATCCAGGTGTGCCCATTGTGTATGCTGGATTTGGTGCTCTAATGCTCACAACTTGCATGAGTTACTTATCTCATTCACAGGTGAAAATTACATTCACATGATGAGTCTGTCTTGCTGTGTTTTCTGACAAATTATATAGGTGATTTGTGTTTAAACTTTGGCAATTGTTTTTTAGATTGTTTATGCCTCTGATAGAGTTGCAGAGGCTTCTGTTGTTTCTGCAATTATAATGTCTATTTGGTTTCTTTTCTTGTACTACAATATTTCTTTGAAAACAAATTGCTGTTTGAAATTAAAGTTTAAACCATGAATGCCTGACAAAATTTTAAGTAGTACTTTCGGAATGAAAATATTTTTCACAAGGTTAGACGTTCATAATGGACATTAACGGTTCTTAGTTCTAATATTTATACCATGATGGAAGTTAATTGCAATCTTTTGTGTTCATTTATTATCTTATTCTCGCAAACTGAAGGTATGGGCTTTACAAGACGGAACAGCAGTGACTGTCGGAGGAAAGACTAACCGAGCAAAAGGTGAATTTCAAGATGAGATAAATCGATTGCTCGATAAGGTTCCAGAGATAGTTGAATCATCTCTTTCAAAGCAATCTGATGTTGCAAGTGGCTAGTCTTCTCAGCTTGAAATGAAAAGATTACATGCAATGGGATTTACCTGTGATTCTGACTTTTTAGGCCAATCCGAGATACCGATCCTCTTTAATTTGAATGTCCAGCTTGATAAATCAGCAGACTTTATCTGGAAGTTCAAGCTTATTTCGTGGAGCTAGGCTGAGCACTTTGGTAGAGCCATAGATCGTACTTATAAATGTATAGCTACAGGTATTATAGACTACAATACAGTGTGGCTGCTGGGGCCCAGACTCGAGGCCTTGAGATAGAAGATTGTTCTTGATGACCCATTTGCCAATCAACCATTTTTTGTACTAAAGAAATATAAATTTAAACTTCAGCGGCATTTAATTGAATACATGCATTGTTGTTTTTCCAGCTCACTTGGATTGTATTATTTATAGCTTCTCTTAGTTATCATAGCAGAGTGATTTTCACATTTCCAAGCTTTGCACTTATTCCCAATCGCCTCATAGCAGCCTCTTCCTGGAGCAAAATATATTGCTAAAGTTGTCCTTTAAGAGACTTCACTCAGCATTGCTCTACTACTGCAACCTCTATATTGCTAAAGTTGTGAGCTCAACTCAAGAACTCAAGTATTACATAGATCTTCTAGAACCTCTTGTTAATGATACATTGATCTTGTGTTAATGATACATTGAGGTACATTGTCTGACAGGCACTGTCTAATGCTATATGCGCAAATTAAACTTGAGCTACTTGCAAGGCTTCTTCACGTTTGATGTCGAACACCTTGATAAGGGCATCTTCCACAACCTGATAAAAAATTGATTTAGACGATAAAAAAAAAAAATCAGTTTTCTACAGACGTTCAACACCAGGTACAAAATATTAATAACATATAGCACAACTGGAAACTTAAAGATTCACATGGTTTGCAGGAATGGGAATCCTATTATGCCATCATCACAAGGTTAAGAGGCAAAATTGCATGTATAGGGCAGAAAAAATCGTAGATGGCAACAAATGGACAGAGTATTGTTGCAGCATAATTACCTTGTCTGGTGTAGAGGCACCTGATGTAACACCAATTGTAATGGGGCCTTCTGGAAGCCAGTTTTCTTTCTCAACCAACTCCCCATGCTGGTAAGAGAGAAATAAATGAGAAATCTGTAATGAAATCAGGAAATTGGTCAGAGAATGGAAAATATGAGCAGTTGCACTTACATTCAACTTATAAGCTATTTTGTTTCCTGGGCCTATCCTCCGTTCGCTGTCAATCCAGTAAGAAGGAATTCCGTGGTGCTCGGCAATTTCTTGAAGGTGGGAGGTGTTACTTGAGTTCCACCCACCAACAACTAACATAAGATCCAACTTTTCCTCCACCAGTTTATACATTGCATCTTGTCGCTCCTGCAAATTAAACAGAAGAAGCTTGTATAAATATAAGATGAAAACAACATAAACCAAACCAAATACCATAAAGAAATTTTCCTTCAGTTAATTTGTAACTTGTATGCAAGCAGCTGTTGTGCGATTAGGAGACTGGAAATTGTAATATATAATATTCATTCCTTGTCTCTATCCTCTTTCCCTTTTGAAAAAGGGAAGTTCAAGGTTCAAAGTGTTTAAGGTTGGCCAATCTTGAAATTATGATTTAGAGATAGATGGGGAAGGGAGAAGGAAAGCATCGTTTGAATTTGAATTCTATAAATAGTAAGAAAAAAGTAAACAGGTAAGATTGTTAAGAGTTTCGCACAACTATATTGAAAAGCTGAACAAGTAGAATCATGAGATTAGAAGAGAGAATCACCTGAGTAGCATCACAGATGGTGTTGAAGCTTATGAAATGATCATTTACATTTTCCACTCCATACTTGCGCATAAGAGTCCTCTCCACCAATTTTCCTGTCAGGAAAAGAATTATCAATAAATTGAATATCAATGGTGGTAATTCCACGGAAAAATATAGAATGGCTTAGCACAACTAAGTTTAACTAAAACTTACCAATCTCTTCTGTTTCTCCCTTGAGCATTGTAGTTTGATTTGCAATGCCAACTTTAACCAGGTCAATATCTGGATCAAGCCCCTTAGAAACTGCATTTTTAAATTTCTGCAAGCAAGCCAATGATCTGAGAATTTTGCTACTATCCCAAATACTTAGTTAAATTTAACAGGAAACAAAAGCTGTACCTCTAGAAATTCCTCTCTGGTTGAGCTAGATCCATTAAGCTCGCCCCCAAGAATGTAATCACAAACATACATGGCCTGAATTAAGTAGAAACTTCTCAGAATTTTTGCATTAAACAACAAGAAGCAAAAAAAAAAAAGATCATGCACAACGTTTCCTTTATCTCAGTGAATTGTGATTAACATGTTAAAAAACATTCCAGGATTTTATTATAAACTAAAGAATTGGATATTAACCACCACTAGTATTTTGGGGCATACCTCTTTCATATCTTTCACAATAATGTACTTTCCAGCAAAAGAAGCAGTTGCTACAGTTTCCTCATGAGCATATTTCCCATGAATAATAGAGGTATAATCTCCCTTCTTGTGCTTCTCAACAGTATTCCAAACCTTCACGCAAGTTCAAAACATAAACGTGTAATCAAAATACACATATTTTCACCATATAAAATCGAAGAATTACAAGCAATAATATCACACAGCTTAAGCTTCATCCAAAACATACCTTGGACACCCAAGGGCAAGTTGTATCGACAATTTGTACTTTTTTGTTACTCAGAGTCAACATCTCATCCACCGCCGCTCCAAAAGCAGGCAAAATCACAACATCACCACCATTTACAACTTCAAACTGTTTCTTCCCTTCCTCAATAGGAATGTTTTCAACTTCCATCTCCTCTAACCTCTGCCAAAACAATAAAACACAACACCATCACTGACCATTCACAATTTATTCCTAAAACATCGAATCACTTTGAAGAAATTTTATCATAAATAGCTTTCAATTGTCATAATTCATTTCTATTTGGCTCCGATTCGCTAAATAAAAAGGAAAAAAACCTAAGATAGGAAAATTATAATACCTTATTAACAGTCGGATTGTGGATAATCTCATTAGTAATCCAAATCTTGTCATCTGGAAACTGTTTCCTGGCTTCGTAAGCAATCTGAACAGCTCGCTCTACTCCCCAGCAAAATCCGTAAGCTTCGGCTAATTTGACTGTAACATTTCCCCATGTATACTCATAACCATTCTCCTTCAATTTCTTTATTATATCACCTGCAAATTCAAAATTCCGAAAAAACAAAATTACTCGCAATTCAAGTCCTGCACATCTCCTTAATTATTTTTTCAGAATATATATATATATAAAGCTTACTGGTGTACTCGCGATTCATGAGCTGAAGTGTCTCTTCTTTGTGACCAAAACCTTTACGATTATAATTCTCGCTTCTTGTCAGGTTATGTCTGAACACTTTAGCGTCAAATTCAGATTCCAAAGCGACCGAAGAAGTAGAGTCATCACCGCCGGCGCAGCGGAGGGAAAAAGTTGTTCTACGGCGGCGGAGAGGTACGCGATTATCGGAGGAGAGGTCGGAGCGGAGTGAGAAGCGGCAGAGTTGGAGAGAGATAGCCATGGTGGCGATTGCTGAGAGACAGTGAGAGAGAAGGAGAGAGGCGTACGTTAGTTACGAGTGTGGCGAGAATGTGGAGTGCAACCAATGGTGCGCATTTTTAAAAGAGAGGTTTATAATCAGAGGATCTCGTGATGCACGTTTTTTTCGGGTTTTTTTATTTTTATTTTTTGAGAGAGGGTTTGAATTGTCGTTTTGTAGACAAGGATCGGCGTTTATAGTGCCTTAGCAGATACCAAATCACGTGGTTGATGATGGAGGTTTAGTTATTTTTGCTGAAAATGAAATGTTCAGCCATTCTGCTCTTTTGTATATATATTTTTTTAATAATCAGTACACTCTTGAATCAGTTTTTTTCATATATTAATTCATGTTTATAAAAAAAAACTATTATCCCTCTCCATATCAATTTTGTAATTTTAAGTGAAATAGTAATTGATAATTCTAAATTTTATTTAATTTTATAATTTTACTAAAATTTGATTGAATGATTATATTTAGCTGATTCAGTGCATGGATCCCTATTTTGAGATTCATTATTTATATCTATTTAAGAGTAGATTTCATAAGTGAATTTTGTATAAAGCATCGAATTAGTTTTTTACTAAAATGTAATAAGAGAAACTTTATTTTCTAGCATGTGGTTTTTTATTTTTAGTTTTTCGAAAATATTCTAGCATATATAAATTATTATTTTATCGTATAAAAATATACATATGATTGATTTTATATTTGGCCATCTTTAAAGCAACGTCTTAATCCAGCACTCAATGCATGAATTATGGGAAATATGGGTGCGTGTATCACACGCAATAACTTCTATTTCTTCATAATAACAATTTTTAATTTCAAATTATCCTACAAATTTACTTTCTAAAACAGGGATTCTTTCTTTAAAATTTTTACCTAATTATTTTGTATAGCATACTCCGTGTATTAAACTTTCAATTCTCAATTTTGGAGGTTTTAAAATGGTTTATTTTTACACTGTAGAAGTTGTTTTTTTTCAGAACTGTGCCTTCCATCGTTTATTGGATTCTTGTCCAGTATCCGAAGAGTCTTCAACTCGTATTGAATAGCAATTAACTAAAAATTCTGTCCTCGGAGATTAGTAAAATTCATATACTTCGATTGATTAATGAGTGGGAGAAACAATGGTGTACATCATTGTAGTAGGACAACTTAAAATCCAGGAAAGTCACACCTGGCTTTTACCAAATCCATTCAAACTTGTGTATCACATCCCATTTCTAGACTCTTTCGTAACTTGTCATTTCATTGCCAAGATTTGTTGCTATTCTCATTTCCTTCTTTCTTTCTTTCTTTCTTTTTTTCTGCACCGCTTCATTTTCTTTTTATAAAATCATTTTAACCAATCTTTTTTTGGAACGGTTCCATAAAGAAGTGTGTATATTTGACAAAAAAAAATCCTTTTTTTGTTTAAAAAATTGTTTTTATTTTTATTTATATCTATTAAAAAATATTAATTTAGTGAAAACTTCAAGTGGTCAAAATACTCTTAATTAAAATTAATTCTGCAGAAAATTATCTAAAATATATATTTAAAAAAATTATTTTTTAAACAAATATGAACAAAAATTATTGATATTCAATAACCTTATTAATTTATATAAAAATCAAAGAGAACACTTTTTTTGAAGCAGAGAGAATATCAATTTTACTCCGCTCATAATACTTTGAGAAATGAATGAAGACTCCATACAGTATTCTCAAATAAGAAACTTTTGGTTCCTATCATGTCCTAACATGCATTTTCCTGTTATTATTTAGTATATTAGAAATTATACTTTTTTCTTTCACAAAAACATAAAACTCGTAAATATTCTTATAAATATCAAAGAGTTTGTAGTTCAGTTGAAATAATATCTTATAACAAGAGGTCACGAATTTAAATCTTAATAGATCGATTTTGTTAGAAGCTTTGGGTGTGTAAGTAATATATATATATATATTCTCATAAATTATATGTTTTTGTTTTTGTTTTTTTTTTTGTTAAGAAACAGAATACAACTCTGGACATATTTAATAATTTTTAGTATGGTTTTTAAGTTGTTTCTTAATGTTTTTCGTTTCTGGTTTGGTTTCTGGTTTTGATGGCTTGGCCTTGCTCCTCGTTCTGCGTTCTTTTTCCTCTTGATCATTTGGAAGGTGATGAAGAAAAAAGAAAAAAAAAATGGTTATAGTGTTGGATTTAGATTATTTTATATTAAAATTTTGAAGTACTTAAAAATTAAAAGCAAATTTTATACCTTTGTAATTTTTTATATTTGTCGTTCTAATAAAAAATATTATTTTTCAATTGAAAAAAAAATTGAATGGAGTGCGATCATCACAAAAACTAGCTATAAAAACAAACTTGAAAATTGAACCAAACTAAAGAAAGATTGGATAGCAAATTTGGGGGACCAATTACATAACTATTATTTTCAAAGACAAATTTAGAAGATTTAAAGACTTTGGTTTGATATGACCTTCCAAAAACATATTGTAGTTCTATCACTTGAACACGAAATAAAATCCTATACTTTAGGCCAAATGAATTCTTTCTTATCACTTGAATTATCCAAAAAAATGAATCTAATTTTTTTATTCATATATTTTCATTCCATATTGGAGATAAATAATCTTTTATCATATTATGATAATTTTTTTTGTTTATTTTTTTTAAATTGTGTCACGAGAACAAATAGCATGGTAGAATATTACTCTAATCATATATTGTAAATACATGTGCGAGGTTTTTTAAGAAAACCCCGCAGGTTTCCAAGTAAGTTGGTACTATATATCTTCAAGACTCCCAACATTTCTCACTCGAGGAACATGTGCCCCGTGCTTCAATGCAACCATGATTTTGGAAGGAGTAATTATACTAATTTTTTGTAGAATTTTATGGCTGTTTTTTTTTTAAAAAAAATATAGCATTACTTTTTTGGAAGAGTTTTATGACGGATAATATAACTAATTACATAGTCAAGTCCAAATCTTGAAACTGCCCATTGAGCATCTCTGAATCCATCACCATAAGCACCATCTAGCATGTTTTCTACTTCACATTTGAAAGTTGTCTTCAAATTCCTCATAAACTGAGCCTTTTCACTGGCACTTGATGATGCCTCAGGATCAAATGCTTCAAACCAATCCAACCATCGGTAACCCATCACCTGGCAGATCCCTTCTTCAACTTTTGGGTCCAATTGTGACACACCTTTCAATCAAGAAACATTCAAGGTACGTAATGTGTCTTTAGCATCCTACGTACCAGAAAATTATCTTGGAGATATTTTTGTTCTTCTCTGTATATTAAAGAAAAGCACTGACATTATGGGACATATATATACTCTCAGAATAAATAAGGTTCACCTTGAAGCCTCAGCCATGCATGCATAAATTCGTGAGCTAAGATTCCTCCGGTCATAATCCTGTAAATTAATTAATGAATCTTCAGAACCGTAAATCAAAGTGTAATTTATGTTTGGTTAATTAATGAGCTCAGAAGTAAAACGTGATGGAGAGTGTTACAGGGGCAAGCCAAACAAAACTAGTATTTTTATTCTGTATTCACGGCCAAAACGGTATGTCTTCATTTCTGTAACAATTTTTCTTCCTTGTATCCGAGACTTGTCAACCTATGATTTCCACGAAGTCCAAAAAAGAGTTGAGATCAAGCATTATTTTTGTATTGAGGTTTTCTATATAATTTGTCAATAAAACGTATCAACGGAAAATTAAAACTTGACAATTAATAATTCTTACACTCGTGATGTCTCTTGCTGAACACATAGTGAGTCCAAGTACCGTGCAATCTGGATGAACAGGCTGTTTTGCACAAAACATTTTTAAAAACCATTTAAAGAAAAAACAATATTGTAATGTTTTTGCAAAACACATCAATTTGGGGATATTTATGTATCAGTGCTTCTAATTAAATAGCAATCACTAGGATATATAGATTCAAGATACAGTAAGCCAGAGAGAGGGAATGAACTTACTCCCACAGTCGTTGCTCCTGCTGTCTGTCTCCTCATCTCCTCTCTATCAACCGTGAAGACGGGAACAGGACCCTTTATTTTCATATTTAAATGATCGAAAAATTTCAGCACATAGCGTACAAGAGGTTCAATTCTCTGTGTCTCTAAGATTGCTGTACAAAAACAGTCATTGCAGATTCTTCTACCATCTCTTTGATCATCACCAAGGCTAACGAATTTTTCATTTCTTGGCTGCATGAAATTAATAAATACTAGATGATTAGAGATTAATGAAATTGAGATTAATATATTCATTTTGGATTTCAAAAATGAATTAGGGAAAATTAACTGCATGTAACGTATAAGATTGATTTAAGTCTTGCAGCTTTTTTTTTTTTTTTTTTTGACGCTATAAATAGAAATCTTACAGTCCATTTAGTTGTTAAGTATTAAGAAATTAGCGTTAATAATTAACAAAACAAGAGAGAAGATAGCATCATCATGATGAATTGAAAAATAGATATTTTTTAATACAAACCTCGAATCGCTTGCAGGAGCAGCACGTATGAGTGCCATCTGTTGTGTGATCGCAACAATAAACCTGGTTCCAGAATTCACGTTTTAGATGCGGACCTTGGATCTGTTTGAAAAAAAATGATAGTTCAAATAATTGAACCCATTGAGATTATAATCCATTAGTCAATTTTGTAGTGTTATGAGAATACGCGTTAATTGTCAAGTATCCATCTCTATCCATTGACTATATATTAGGCTAGCAAACATGACAGATGATAGTTGACATGTATATATCTTGTAATTATTGCAGTATTAGCGGATGTTAATCTCTGTGGTATCACATAATTTGATGAATTCTGGGTTTCTAAAAATTAAGTCATGATAAAAACCAAAAAAAAAAAAAAAAAAACTTACTAGTTGGTCACATGCATCACAGATTAAATTACGTGGCCGACGTGGGTTGGTGTTTGCGATTCTTGAAGACATCCTAGCGAAGAGTGATGTTAGTTAATTTCAAGTTTTTGTAGTTTAAGGAAACAGGATTGGTCTTAGGAAAAAAAAAATGCAAAGCGAAAGAAAACATATAGGAAATCCAAGATTGCATTTTACCTTTGTTTTTTAGAAGATTTAAGACTCTCTTCTATTGCTTTAGCAAGTTCGTCATCGTCGTCATCACCTAATGTTCATTAAAAAAAGATAGATGAAGTATAAGAAAAGGAGTGATTGATGATTACGAAGAAAAAGAATGGAGTTCGTCTTTCAATTTATGATTAATCATTTAATTGGGTGCCATGAAAAAAAACTTTGGATTACAAATTATATTTGATGAATGGTAATAAGACTTCACTTAGCATCCTCACCATGAGCATGATTCTTTCCGTTTTCGTCGAGCTCTGTAAGAGAAAGCTCTGTAGCAAGTTCAATATCATCGAGTTCATCCCCTAAATATTGAGCCTACAAGTTTGTAATATAAACAAACGGAAATCAACGATTTAATTACAGATTAAGGTCGAAAGATCATGGTAAACTTGAACATTTTAACCATGGAAAAAAACTTGGAGATCTTACCATCTCTTGTTACCAAAACTAGGGATGCAAAGAAGTAGGCAAAAGAAGGTATATCATTTGGTATTCAGGATTTTGTTAAGGTTGAATGGAGTGTTCGGGTTAATGTAAAACAAGTAAATTTTAACCACCCAAATTATCGTCCAAATCATAAAATTTACTCTGATGTATTAATTGTGCTTGTAGAAAGCGTGATGGGCATGCAAATTAATTAGCCACATTATTATTTACATGCTTAAATTTTATTATGGCTTCAAATGGAATCATTAAAGCTCAAACTACAAAGGACTTAATTTTGGTGTGTTAAAATTCATCTAATGATATTGAAATTTAATTTAAATGGATTATCTTCTACAAAATTTGTGGGAGGATACAATGATATTAAGGAATCAAAGTCTTGCATACTCTGTTCAAAAAAAAAAAAAAAAAAAGTTTGATTGATTGCATATTTTGGGTTAGGAGTTATAACTTATAAGAGTGATAATAGATATAGTATGAAGCATGTATTACATCCATTAAATATTTATTTAAAATATCCAATCATCAATAAGAAAAGTAAGAGTAAAGTAAATATATAACCACTAATATGGCTTTGGAGTTTGAATATCTACTTTATATCTTATCAATACTCATGATTTTTTTTTTTTTTGAAAAATAATTTAACTTATATGTATTTTATTGCATAAACTTTATAAAGCAAGGATTAAAATATTTTTATAAAAAACATCGAGGACCAAAAGACTTAAAAACAAAAGACCAATTTTTTTAAAAAATATTGATTTTAAGGACGGCATAGCTTTTTAAAAATACAAGAACTAAAATGAAATATTTATGCAAATTATTTCTAGCAGGCATTAAATTGGTATTAAATGGGTACGGCGGGATATAAATTTAGAAGAAAATTTCTTAATGGGCATGAGTTGAGTACTTTTTATATGTAGGATAAGGGGCTGGTTTAATGGGTCGAGTACCCAGCCCAATCCCATTTCCATCTTAATTTTTTAAAATATTAATTTTAAGGACCGACATAACTTTTTTGAAAAATATAAGGATTAAAATAAGATATTTATATAATTAATTTTTAGCGGGCTTTAAATAGGTATTAAATGGGCATGAGATAAATGGGTGTGAGCTGGGTATGACTTTAGAGGATAATTGGATATGAGCAGACTTATTATTATAATTACTTAAATAGGTAAGGTAAGGGAAAGATTTAATGGGTCGACTACACAGCTCATTGCCATCTTCAAATTGAGTTATGACTTATGGACTTTCGTGGCTGTGCAGCCCGAACCACCCATAATGAAAACTGGATAAATAGAAAAGAAAAGACCATGAGAAATTTCTTTTTTCATTTTCAGGCTTTCAGCCCAAAAGATCAAATAAAAGCTTTTGATGGAGAAATTTTATAATACAAAAAGAATAATTAATGAGATGTATAGTAGTTACTCTATGTACTCACTTAGATGAGAGAAATAGATTAAAAAAAATAAACGAACGTTGAAATCTTCTTATTATTTTCTATGAGTCCGAATGTAATTCTACGTGTACTGTTCTCTTCCAAAATAGATATATAAAATAATTATTATACATATCATTAGTTATTTGTTGTGTATTATAAAACTTCTTTTTTTGTTCAATGTCAAGGGTCGACTCTTGTAAAATTCCAAAAAATAAAAAACACATTTCTTTAAATGTTCAGAATTTTGCGTGAAAAGCATTTTTCTATCCTTTTTGGCTACATCAAAAGCAAAGCATAAATTGCTTATTTGACATTAATTTTCTTTATTGCCAAGATATAAGCAAGAAAATACCAGAAAAAAAAAAAACGAGCCAAATAGGCAGCGGCCACAATCTAACAATGGAACATTGATCTGGGACCCATCATATCCACATGGAGTGGAGAACGAAGATTTCCACAACGGCCAAACTGAAAAAAGCAGCAAAAGATAGCAAAATCACTTGTGTCTGTCTCTTGAGTTTTCAGTTCAGCAGCAAAGGCAGGACAGCTTGAAACAACATTATTATATTCCCTGAAAATGGAGAATTGCTCCCTGCAATCATCAACCATAACCACCATACCAACCTCATTAAACAAACGTGGGTTCATTGAGAAACCTTCTATACATGGTCAGTTCCTCAAGTTTCCTAATTTCAGTAGGTTCCCATATTCAAGAAAGCTCAAAATCCTTGATATCAAAGCTCAAACTTCAGGTACATAACAATAACAATTCTAGCTTTATTTGCTATGTTTTTTTAGTTTCATGAAATGGGTTCTTTGTGATTCTATCATTGATTATTTTGATAGCTCTTACTTATGATCTTGATCTTCATTGTCATAAACGGAAAGATGGGTTTCATTGCCTTTGAATGCCAATGAGTAGTTTTGATTTTTGACTGATATTCGTGTATTTTTTAAGTTGCTGCAAAATTTAGCTCTGAGGCAGTTCCAAAAGAAGTGGAAACAAAAGATGAGAATCTTGCATTTGTTGCTGGTGCTACTGGTAAAGTTGGCTCGAGAGCAGTGAGGTATTTTTCTAGTGCTCAAACTTTTTTTTTTTTTTTAATTTGGTGCTGGTTTTACAAATATTCTTTGACAATTGAATTTGCTTCAGGGAGCTTCTCAAGCTTGGATTCCGAGTTAGAGCTGGTGTCAGGAGTGCCCAGAAAGCAGAAGCTCTTGTGCAGGTATAAATTTAACAGTTCAAAAGATTATTTAACTACCTTTGTTTTTCTTTCAAAGCATGTTTACTAAAAGAGTAATATATTTGCAGAGTGCTAAGGAAATGAAGCTTGATGTGGAAGGATCTCAGCGTAAGAAAATAAAGCATTTCTAATTTATTTGAAAATGGAAAGAAAGTAAGACAGTGAGGAATAAAGATATATAAATCATTTTCATTTAGAGAAGAAGGTCTCCTCTTTATGCATTATAACAGGTATTCTTTGGTCTTTAGCCCAGCTGTGGAAAGGCTTGAAATTGTGGAATGTGATTTGGAGAAACCGAATCAGATTGGACCGGCATTAGGCAATGCATCTGTGGTTCTATGCTGCATCGGTGCCAGTGAGAAGGAGGTGTTTGATGTTACAGGGCCTTGTCGGATTGACTATCGGGCTACTAAAAACCTCATCGATGCAGGTAAAGTGTTATGTAATGCCACTGTGACCACTTAAAAGTCTTTTGTTTTAGAAAACTGAGTATTGTTCTTGTTTCCAGCAACTGATGCAAAGGTTAACCATTTTATTATGGTTTCATCCTTGGGAACGAACAAAATAGGATTTCCTGCAGCTATTCTAAAGTATGTTTTTAATTTTGGAAGGAGAATTAGCATTTGAATTATTAGTTGGTGGAAATTACTGATTTTCCTCGACTTTTTCTGCCAAAGTTTGTTTTGGGGTGTCCTAATTTGGAAGAGGAAAGCAGAAGAAGCACTCATAGCAAGCGGTGTTCCTTACACTGTAAGAGCCTGCAAACACATTAAGTGGACAAACAGGTTATATGAGTATACCAGTTTATATTAGATTGAACTTGATTTTTATAGTTCTCTTCAGATAGTCAGACCTGGTGGAATGGAGAGACCTACTGATGCTTACAAGGAAACCCATAACATCACCCTTTCAGAGGAAGATACTCTATTTGGTGGCCAGGTGTCAAATCTTCAGGTGCGATTCATTAAAATTTTACTTCACATATGAGATTTTTTAACTTTCTTTTTGGATATATTTGTCACCTGATTGCAAGGAAAATAACCTGATATATCAGGCTTTAGAACAGAGAATGAAATAATGAACAATCCTCAGTCTGCATTAGTGCATTTCCACTTCTCTTTTTGCAGAATATTGTATGATCATGTAACTTCATTGATACTAATTCTTAACTCTTTTCATTGTGTCTATAAGTTATGTTAGAACCATGTTAAAAAATCTTCTAAATTTTGAGTGATGCTGTAAAGGCATTAGCTGCCTTTTCTGCTTTAGTCCAGAACTGATTTCTGTCCCTCATTTTTTTTTTCAAGTGGCTTATATCTCTGTACTGCTAGTAATACTTCTGTTTCATTTTACTCATCATTTGGTAGCACAGTGGGTGTGATCTCATGTAAAATATACAAGTTACTGGCCAAAATTATAGTGCATGCTAGAAAGCAAAGAGTTACAGAAGACAGTCCCAATGTTGCAGGTTGCAGAACTTATGGCGTTTATGGCTAAAAACCGTGGACTTTCATATTGTAAAGTGGTGGAAGTAATTGCAGAGACAACTGCACCATTGACTCCTATGGATGAGCTTCTAGCAAAAATACCATCTCAGCGTGTTGAACCAAAGGTGTGCTCCGATCACTCTCTAGAAAAACGAAGTGACAAGTTCAATTTCATTGGGATTGTAACAGAATAATTTGAATGTGGCAAGGATATCGCCATTCTATTTACCAGTGCTCTAGGTTTTTTTTTTCTCTGCATCGTATGAAAAAGGGTGATATTGTGTTCTCAGAAATCAGACGTGTCAGAAGTGCCTAAGCCTCTGCCTCCTAAGATTGTCGAACCTGTGGCTCCAAGCTCTCCCTCTCAAAAGGAACCTTCCCAGGCAAATGCTATGGTTACAAGGCCACTCTCTCCTTATACTGCGTAAGCCCAATCTAACACGTTCCCATGTTAGTCAACTGTTATTTTAGATTGATTTCACAAAATCTTGACTTGTAAATGCAAGATCATAACATCATTCTAGGCTCTCTGTTGCTGTATCATTTGTAGCCAGCTAAAGTTTAGTGTGTTATTTTCTGTAGCTGCAATGGTGTTCCATGTTAGGTTCATGTAAAAGTCACACTGTGCAACCAGTCATATGAAGCCCTTTCTTGGCCTTGCAAAGCCACATGAGGCCTTCTTATAAAAAAGGGTTAAAACTACAAGTTTAGGCCCTACTATCCAACAGTTATCATGAAAATGTGCTCCTTATGGAATACAACATTAAACAAAACGATCTTATTTTGAGTCCTTCCTAAAATATATGTTTATATTGCTGCTAAGTTATCCAATCATACTCCTGTTATGCTCCTCTTTTTTATCTTCTTATTGTTCTCAACTGTGACGATGATTTGAAACCACCTACTTCTCCCACTCCAATTCAACCTGGTAGTCAGAAAGTTATTAGTGCCAGTCCTATAGGTGCAGTGCCAAAGCCTGATACTACAGAGACTTTACTGGGGACAGCACCGAGCATAGCTGAGACAGTACTAGCCGTAGCAGACACAAAGGCAGCAAGGCCTCTCTCTCCTTATGTTGCATAAGCCTCTCTTCTAGTACTTCCTACTTTTACTGCAACTGCTGCTTCATATTAATGAATTGATTATTGCATACAGAAATGTTATGTATGAAACGGAACCAAGCTTCTGCCTAAATCCCTCATTTTGTTTTCAACTACAAAAGTTTCTCCTCATTTGTTTTGCCCAAAATCTTATGGTAAGTTTCAAATGATGGTTATTTTCATTACCCCAAGGCTCCAATATGATTTATTGCCCAATATGTTTTTGGATATGATGATATTATTTTGAGTCCTTTCTAAATTTTACGCTTTCATTGCTGCTAAAATTATCCTAATTTGTTACTGTTGTGGCTCTCGTTATTGTACTCATATTATTCTTTACAGTTATGATGATTTGAGGCCACCTACTTCTCCCACTCCAACTCAGCCTAGCGGCAAGAAAGACAGTGTCAATCTAGTAGAAGCAGTATCAAAGCCTGATACTTCACATGCTTTACCTGCGATAAATGAGACAAAACCAGCCCCAGTAGAAACAAAGACAACAAGACCTCTATCTCCTTTCACGGCGTAAGCCTTGTTTTACTACTTTCCATTCTTATTGCTTCTGCTGCTTCTACTTCATATAATGATTGGTCATTGCATCTGGCACACAGAATATTTTTGAAATAGAATGCGAATTGAGTACCCAAGTTATAATTTCTCCCAGGTTGTATTGAAGTGCGAAAGTTTATCCTCCTCATCAAAATCTTATGCTAGGTCTCATATTGATGGTTTTCGTTCTTCCTTACAATTTATACCCCATTATCGTTTCAGATATGATGATCTCAAACCCCCCACTTCACCATCTCCAACTGCACCAGCAGGATCAATCGTACCAACATCCTCCATAAATGCAGTGCCTACTACGGATAACGGTGCATCTCCAACAGCAGCAGCAATCGACAAGCAACATCATGCAGAGCCAAAACCAAAGCCACTTTCACCTTATCCTGCGTAAGCTTGATTTCTCAAATTCCTTTTATTTTCGTTCAGACTTCCTGCAGTGAAAATTCGCTAGAAATGCAGTTATTTTATAGCACCGCGGAGTTTTTTTCCTTTATGCCACTGAGTTTCTCTGTTTCTTTTCATATCAAGGTATGAAGACTTGAAGCCTCCAGCATCTCCAACGCCGTCGCTGAAGCTATAGAATGTTATATTGCAGAGCTAAGTATCAATCACAATATTGCATTGGGGAATTCGTGCAGTTTTTTTACTTGCAACCTATGAAGAGGCTAGCAACAGAAACTGCGAAATTCTTTTCTGTGTTATTATAATAAATTTTACTTGTAATATTTTACTTATTAACTGCATCTTGATTATCCTTTTTACCAATTTGATGGGAACTCAACAAAATCAATTTGACAGTTTTACCTTTTCTAATGTTTGCTTCTATTCCAGGGTCACTTTCAGTTCTACAAGGTATTGGTCGGCTTGTAGCATCATTAATAAATTCTGTCATTTTTACATTATTCCATAGAGCACCACAACCACAAAACGGCAAAAAGGGGGACCTTTTTAACTAAAGTACAAAAAGCAATTAGATTAATTAAAGCATTAGCATTCCAATCACAATTTTCATCATAATCTCATAAGTATTTGCATTACAGCTTCACAACATGCACCTTTTTTTTTTTTTTTAGATTTTTATATCAGGCGAAGATAATTCAAGTCTTGTTAAGATTAAAGGAGAACCCAACAGTTTAAGAAGTTTCATGCAGGTCGCAATGTAATCAGGATTGAACCGAAGAAGGAACTGGCTGGGGTGTGGTTTGTTGGCTCAACCAGCTATTCATTGGTTCCTCATTAGTTGAATATTAATTTTTTATTTTGTTTTTTAAATACTGATAAATAATATAACATTATTGTGTATTTATTAGATTACGTACCATGTTAAATATAAGCATTATTTTATAATTTATTTTTTTGGGTCTAATTTTCCATTAAAAAAAATTATAAAACATGATTGGTTCAACGATCCAACCAGTTTTTAGATCAACCAGATCTCTATTGATTCGCAGCAAAACGGTCTTTTTATCAGTCTTGGACTTAAAGAGATAATAAAATCAAGAAGGAGCCCAAGCCTTTAGGGTTCAGGGTTAGAAAAAGGGACGGGAGGAAAGAAAGCGAACCAAAGATTATAGAAACCTTGGAATGGAAGGGTTCCGAAAGCCAACCACAGAGCCTCCCTCTACTGCTCTGGTTTACCAGGATCCTCACTATTGGAACGAGAGGTTCTCTAAAGAGGAACATTACGAATGGTTCAAAGATTACTCTCATTTTCGCCATCTAATTCAAGCCCACATCCCTCCAAGCTCTTCTGTAGGCATTCTTTCTCTCGTTTGCTGCTTTTGGGTTCTTTTATTTATTTTTGACTGTCAAGAATTGTTTGTCTTAACGACTCATTTTATTGTGCTCTTTTTTGTAACAAGAAAGTTCGAATGGTTTATTGAAGGTGTTGGAGCTTGGTTGTGGGAATTCACAATTGTGTGAAGAAATTTACAGAGATGGGATTACTGAGATTACTTGCATTGATTTGTCAGCTGTTGCGGTCGAGAATATGCAGAAACGGTTGGAAGCTAAAGGATATAAAGGTCTGTGTTGTTTGAATAGTAGTTCTGTTGATGATGCAATTTGTTGTTAGAATACAATCAATGTTAGTCTGTAATTTGTGGTGGAAAGTTGAATTCAGTTGATGAAATAATCTTATAATGCAACACAATTGAAGAAACTTGTGAGGATGTAGGAATCAAAGATTATTTTTTCTCTACTTCCTACCGACTAATGAAATAAGTTGTTTTTCAAAAATGTAGTGGCGTTCTTAGCTTTTCATTCTTGTCCACTTTATCATCAGAAATAAAAGTGCTGGAAGCTGACATGCTAGACCTGCCCTTTAACGACGAATGTTTTGACGTGGTTATTGAGAAAGGAACCATGGTAAACAGACAATCGAGATTGTCGTTTTATTTTATGTTGGAATTTCCGCTTGATATCTGTATTGATCACATGATCATTTCCTTCTTTCCAAGTGTGGGATTTAATGGGTTACTTACTCTATTTCCTCTGCACTTTGAAGGATGTATTATTCGTCAACAGTGGTGACCCATGGAATCCAAGGCCTGAAACAGTAGCCCAGGTCAAGGCAATGCTTGAAGGAGTTCACAGGGTTCTGAAACCAGATGGCATCTTTATCTCAATCTCTTTTGGCCAGGTTGGACTAACAAATTCAGAATCGCCATTTTTTTATGATGTTGGGGACTCACTGATGAGTGTTGTAAGCACTATTATTCTTACTTGAAGTTCATCTTATGCAGCCGCATTTTAGGCGCCCTTTATTTTATGCTCCGGATTTCACCTGGTCTGTTGAGTGGAGCACTTTTGGTGATGGGTTTCACTATTTCTTTTATGTCTTGAGGAAGGTAAGTCCTGAGATCTTCCCTCTTAATTATCTTGTAGACAATCTATGTTCTTACCATGTAAGGCTAGTGGATGGTTTTCTACAATGAGTTCTCTTAATTTGTATGGTTTGTCTTTATGAGGCGGGGTGATATTCTAGATATGCCTAGATTATCTAACTACTTAATGATTCAACATTTCCTCAATTTGCTGCTTCACTTATCCGTTATCTTTAATGTTAATTCAAATTAGGGTTTGTTTGTGAAAGGCGCTGAATGACAAAAAGGAAGAACCTCTTATCTCCTTTTTTTGACATCTTTCTTATTTGAATTATATGCTATCAACATTTTCAGGGGAAGAGATCATCAAGTGATGAAGGGTCTAGTGGAGAGAAGGAAATACCATCCCTTTGTCTATTTCAAGAAGAATTAGAGGGTGAAGATTTTATTTTTCGAACCAACATTGATGAAGATTCGTAGCAATTGTTGTAACTTCTATTTGCCGATCCTTTGCTTGTCAGTGAACTCGAATATAATATAAATGGAGCTTAATACAGTCATTTGACCCTAAATTACAATTTGAGCAACATATTTGAAATTGGCTAAGCTAAAACAGGCTTCTGTTGAGCTTAGTAATCTTGAATCTTGGTGGCTACTTGGTGGCCATTGCCTCCATTAGCCATTCCCTCAGGCTGCCACGGCATGGTGTCTTGGTTCTACTTAGTCGCAATGCCTCCATTAACCTTGACCTCTAAGGAAAACTCCAGTAATGCCTGCAATGCGGCAGCATCAATCTTTTCGCTTGGTTGAAAGTTAAACACTCCAAAGTGGATGAAACTTTCAGGCCCCTATCCTTTTATTTTGTTGTCTTTTATTTATTTGGATAATTTAATTAGTTAGGTTAATTTTAATTGTATGAACTTGGGCTAATTAATTAGTCCTCCTAAGTTTTGGAATTTCTATTTTGTTTAGGACATGATCGAATGTGGTCTAGGTGGATTATTTGATTCTTGCATGTTGTGGATCCTTATTTGTTAGGGAGATTTTATTTATTTTGAGTCCGTAATATATTAGATTTAATTAGGATCAATTAATAAAATTTTAATTGAAGATAAAGGACATAAGTACAAGTCAAATTAGGAAAAGAATTTTATTTAGGAAAGGAGTTAGAATTGACAAAGGATGAGAAGTTCAACCTAACCGACTCTTTTAGGGTCTTATTGTGTGAGTATCTAGGGACACTTTATGTTAGTTTTTCGATCGATTTTGATGAATATTTGAATAAAAAAAAGAGTTTTCTTTGCAACTTTTTGCGTATCTCCTTTGCTAGGACTAACTAGGACGTCATGAATGCATTTTTAAAGTGATCGACTAAGGTGGGCTTAGATCAATAATCGCATCGAGTGAACTCTTAACAAATGTATTTTGTAAGTACTTTCTAAATCAATTCGAGTAGAGTTTTCATTTTGAGGATGAGACATTAGGGCTTGCTTTTATTTTTATATTTGCTTGATTAACTGTGGGCGGATTAGAATTCTAAGACTGAACAAAATCGATCTCAAAGCTAATAACTAAGGCTAAGGATTTTTGTTTGATATGAAATTTTGACAATAGCCGGTTAAAAAGTTGATTTGGTTCCTTAAAAAAAATGACAAAATTTTTTTTAAAAAAATTCTTACTAAGGCTAATAACTAAGGCTAAGGATTTTTGTTTGATATGAAATTTAAGGTGTCGAATTGTTGTAAATTCTAAAATCTATTACGTCAAGAATTTCAACTTATTGAAATAAAGAGCTATAAGGCTTAGATTGACTTGAATTTTGATACACACATACCTCTTGATATTATCTACATTGTGTTAAAATGTCAACTACATCCGAGTTGATTTGCTAGGTCAACACATCTCTTTTAGATTTCGATTTCATGATTGAGTATTTGGAGATTGAAATTTTGTTTGTGTTTGTGTTGGAATTTAGTTGGTTGTGATTTGGCCTTTGATTATATGTTGTTTGAGGTTTGATTGGAGAGTAATTGAGGTCTGGTTTATAACTAGAGTGTTTCGACCTAGGGCTACTTATTTATTACTTATGTGTTTGAGCTTTCACGGGACTTGATATCTTTCGATCCAACATCGGTTTGATATCAAAGATAAGGTTTGCTTTCTTTGTCTATTGGTTGATTGTAAAGATGGTTATTATGAGATTGTTAATATGGACTTGGTCGTTGAAGAAGATTGGGTGAGGCACTAATATATTTCACACATGTTACATGTCACATGGTAAGGTGTGTGAATTAATCATCAACGAAGATAGTTATGAGAATGTAATAGCTTCTCGAATGGTGGAGAAGGCTGAGCTAGAAGATAATTGATCATCCTAAACCTTATTCATTGAATTGGTTGTAAAAAGAGAATAAGATATGTGTGTCAAAAAGGTGTTTGGTGTCATTCTTCATTGGTAAGACCTATATTGACGAGGTTTGGTGTGATGTTGTGTTGATGGATGCTTGTCATTTATTATTAGGAAGATCCCGACAATATGATCGTAGGGTCATGTATGAGAACTTTCTAAACACTTATACTTTTTTCTTCAATGGAATTAAAATTTTATTGTCGCCAATGAAGAAGAAAGTCTCAACTAGATGTGTTACTATACCCGAAAAGGTTGTTTCTACTTCTATGTTTATGAAGAGTAGAATATATGAATTTAAGGAAGAAAAATTCTAGAAAGAAGACGTGAATTTTGAAAATGAGATTTTTGAAGGAGACGAGAGATGATAAAGAGGTTAAAAAAGTCGACCTTATTAGTGATGAAAGCATCAAAAGTTCTAGTGAAGTCATTGACAACACTACTAATATTAACAATACCGTAGACACTAAAGTTTTCGATAATAAAGTCAAAGATGTTGCTGCCATCGAAGAGCTAGCCAAGAATGATGTCTATAGCAGCCATGAAGTTGAATTATTGTTCGAAACTTTCTTACGTGATGTTGATATTCGATCGCATGAGAATATTATTTATGTTGATGAAAGAAAGTTGAATGTTTTGGATAATAATTTACTATCCAAACACATAAAAACAAAACACAACATTGACTTATAGAGGACTACATAGCAAAATGTGTCAAGCCTATAAGAAGGAGATTTATTCGGTGGCAAAGAATTACATTGGAACAAACCTTGCAACGGTTCTAGATTTTAGTTTCAAATTCGGATGAAAAACTAAATCGGTATCAAACAAATGATTGGGCAAGTTATATAATACTAGAAATATGTTTCTAGTTTTCAATGCTTTAAAGAGAGCATGCTTGTCCGGGATTTGTGGATGTTAATCTTCGGGATTATATGGTGAAGGAAAGCAAAAAAGTAAGCTAGAAAGTCTTGACTTGACATCTACAAGATAAAGGCAAGAATTTTATCAACCATGGTGATTTATTTGAACAAAAAGTGATCAATGGAGGAGCTGATTTGGTATAGGTCAAGAGTGTAGCTAGTTCACCAAACTTATATCTTGGTAAATCACATCTAACTAATCATGATTATGGTCTAACGAACTTACATAAGATTGATCATGATAGTGAGAATGTTTTTGAATATGCTAATACTAGGAGAGTAGAGAATTATGTTGATTTAAATACTAGTTCTAGATATGATGTATATGATAATGTTGATTTATATATATATTTTTTATGATATTGACATTGGAATGGGTGGAAAAATATCTATCATACATCATGATATGGTGAGATCCTTTAGGTTATAATGGAGTACATTAGGTGTAAGCATGGTGGTATGCTTAAGGTTGTTGATATGAATGTCGTGGATGGTGTAGTTGGTATTGATATTATTATTGCCAATTGTATTAACCAAGTTGTTGCAATTGGTAGTGTTGATGATGTTGTCGTGATTCATAAGGTTAACATAGATATTATTAAAGGTAATAATGGTTATTTAAGGAGTGTTCATGATAGAGAAACAAATGGTGAGGTTGTTGCTATCAAGAACTTATTAGACTTCCGAATTAATGTTGATAAACTCGAGGGGCATAGAGATGGTGTTGCTAACGAGACCATTTGGACTTATTTTAGGGTTGTTACCATTGGAAGTATGGAAAAGTTGTTGCTGAAAAAAGTAAAAAAAGCTAGAGACTCGAAGTCGAGTTTGCTAACTTTGTTAAATTGAAGGATGATACAAACAATAATAGAAATACAAACAAATAGAAGTGATGGGTTGAAGTCTCTAAATTTCGAACCAAGGTAACTTACAACGAGGGAGACTCGGTGTGAATAATTATCAAAAGGAAAAAAGTATCAAGAGGAAGGTTTGTTAAACTTGAAGACATAGAAGGTCTATTCCAAGTTTCTAAGAGGACGAATGAGTACTTGTATAAGATCAACCTACCTAGAGATTACTTAGTCTCAATTGCTTTTAAGGAGGAAGACCTTTAGCCTTACTTTGGAGAAAAAAGATAAGGACTATGATGTTGAGGTCGACTCTTCTTCAAACCAAGGATTATGACGTGGGAGCAACCACCCTCCCATGTAGCCAAAAGTTTCGCACTCCAAAATGGCCAAAACTTTTAACCCTCTATCATTTTTTTTTGTCTTTTATTTATTTGGGTTGTATTCTAGATTAATTTTAATTATATGAACTTGAGCTAATTAATTAGTCCTCCTAAGTTTCGAGTTACTATTTTATTTAGAATATGGCTGAATGCGGAGTTAGGTGGATTATTTGATTGTTGCATATTATGGATACTTATTTTTTAGGAAGACCTTATTTACTTTGAGTCAATGTAATATGTGGATTAAGACTTAATTAGACCAAATTAATAAAGTTCTAATTGAAAATGTATGGCATAAGTCCAAGTCAAACTAGGAAAAGAATTCTAGTTAAGAAAAGAGTTAGAATCGGCCAAGGATGAGAAGTTCAACATAGCCTACTCTCTTTAGGTTCTTGTTGTGTGAGTATTTGAATCAAAAAAATAGAGAGTTTTTTCTACAACTTCTTGAGTATTTCCTTTGCTTGGACCACTTAGGACGCCGTGAACACAACCTTAGAGTGATCGAATAATGTAGGTTTAGAACAACAATTATGTCCGGTGGACTTTTGATGAATGCATCCCCGTAACTACTTCCTAAATCAACTTGAGTAGAGTTTTCTTTTCAAGGGTAAGACATTAGGGCTTGTGTTTTATCTTTATGTTTGCTTGATTAATTGCAAGAAGATTAAAATTTCAAGACTAAATAGATTTGGTCTTAAAACTAATAACCAAGGATAACCATTCTTGTTTGATCTAAAATTTTGATAGTAGTTAATTAAGGAGTTGATTTAGCTTCTATGGAAAAAAAAAGAAAATTAAAAAATATTTTATAATGTTTTTGGGGTATGAAAATCGTTGTAAATTCTAGAACATATTTTGTCCAAAAATTTAACTTAATGAAATAAAGGGCTATAGAGCTTTGATTGATCTGAATTCTGAT